AACTTTGCACTTCCAAACTCCCTTGGTACGAATGGTACCACCCTCCCAATAATTGAGTTGAACAACTTGAGACTTTTGTTAAAATTTCATTAGTTAACAAAGCATCTGCAGTTGTTAATATTCTATATTCTGTAATTTCTCTTATCAGCTAAAAGGAAAAGATTATACCACCAACCTACAAAAAAAAAAAAAAGAGCCTCTGTAGATCCAGGTGACTTTCGCTTTAGTTTGTTTGGTTTTTTTGTTATTAAAGCTAATAGGACTTTAATGATGTCTCACATTTTAAAATTTGTTTTCTCCTTCCTCCAAGAAAGGTCTTATATTGTTCTATTTCTACATTTCCACATTTATTCCCTTCCTGCACTGTCTCATCTTAAATGTAGATCTGAATGAATTGTACTGTTTTTCTTTGTGTTAATATTTTGTCAAATCATGCATACATTTTTTTGAATTATATGGAAAGGATATTGCGAGGTTTTTTTCTTTATTCCTAACAAAAGAACATGTTTCTCAGTTAAAGCTTATGGGAATATAGGTTGAGATACAATATGTAGAGTCATTAGGATAACAGTTGTAATTAAATAAATATAAGTGTATCTTACAAACATGTAATTGGAGTCCCACAAGGGTAATTGCATGGAAAAATGTATTTGTGGCAATAATGGCTGAAAACACCCCAAATTTAGTGAAAAAGAAACTTACAGATCTAGGAAATTCAGTGAATACCAAGTTGGATATTTACCAAGAAAACCACGTAGGCACATTATAGTCAAACTGCAAATAACCAAATGGGGAAGGAAAAGTCTAGAGGGCAGCCAGAGAAAAGAGATGCATTACATGGGCAAAATGATAAAAATGACAGCTGACCTCTCCTCAGAAACAGAAGATCGAAAGATAGTGGAAGACAAAAACTGCCAATCCAGAATTCTAAATTCAGAACAAAGTACCCTGCAAAACTGAAGGCAAAATGGACACTTTCAGAAAAACAAAACCTGGGACAATCCAATACCAACAGGCCTGTACAATAAGAATGCGAAAAGAAATTCTTCAGGAGGACTGATGGCACATCTAATGGAAATGGTCTATCCTTTACTGTATAATACATTGAGTGGTTTAAAGTGATAACCATTTATTGTTTCTCCCTGTTCTGGGCCTTGGCTGGGCTGAGTTGGGTGGTTCTTCAGATCTGGGCATTGCTGGCCGAGGTCACCATGCGGCTGCATTCTGCTGGGGAGTTGGCTGGGGCTGAAACTTCCAAAGTAGCTTCATTTACATGTCTTGGTGGCTCAGATGTGGTGGCTGAAATGGATGGGAGGGGCCTCTCCTTAGCTAAACAGTTTTTGTTATTCGGTAATCTAGCCCAAACTTATTTACTTGCTGGCTAGATTCCTAAATATTAAAAGTAGAAAATGGAAGGCTTCTTAAGGCCATGTCCAGAATGGCATGGTAGCATTGCTGCCATATTTTGTTCATCAAAGCAAGTCAAAAGAGCCACCCATATTCAAGGGGTGGGGAAACAGACTCGACCTCTTAATGAGAGAAGCAACATGCAAGGGGATGGGAAGAATTTCTGGCAACTACTTTTGAAGATAATCTGCTGGGAGGAATGAAAGCACTGGATATGGTAAAACATAGGTGAATATAAAAGGCAATATATACTTTTTTTCTTTAAAATACATACAATTGTGTAAAGCAAAAATAATAATGAATAATAATGAATGTAGATGTAATATATAAGACGACTTGGGGTGGTGACAAAAGGAACTAAACTGTGTGGCAAGGCTCCTTTATCTTATGCAAAGAACTGCAATTTTAACTCTAAGTACTGATCATTTAAGAAGGCTTGTCACAATTCCTAGAAACACTGCTACAACAAAAATAAAGCTAAAAGCAGCAGAGGAATTCAAAACAATACTTGACTCATCCAGAAAATGGCAGAAAGTGAGGCACAAAGGAACACAAAACTAACGGGACCAATTGGAAACAAATATCAAAATGACAGACTTGAACTCAATACTATCAATTATTACAATTGACATAAATGGACAAATGGATAGAACATGCCAAAATAGGTAGAGATTACCAGATCGGATTTAAAATATGAAGATCCAATTAATTATTGTCTACAAGGGAAACACATTAAATAAAAAGTTTCTAAGGAGAAAAATGGAAAAAGACATACCATGCAAATAGTATGCTATGAAAGCTGCAGAGACTGTATTAGTATCAGATGAATTTCACTTCAGGATAAAGAGCATTAGCATTTGGTGAAATGGTTATTTGATCAGGAAGGCTTAAGAACCATGAGTGTTTATGTGCTCAATGACAAAGCTTCAAAATATGTGAAGGAAAAGCTGACAAACCAAAGGATAAAAAAGGCAAATACACAACTATAGTTTGCAATTTTAACACCCCATCTCAGTAATAAATAGTGGCATTGTATGAAAAGTCAATAATTATTTAAAAGACTGAAGAAAGCTATCAACTACTTCAAACTAGAATACAATGCTCAACAGCTGCAGAACATCCATTCTTTTCTAGTGCCCATGGAACATTTCCCAAAATAAACCACATTTTGGACAACAAAATAAGTCTCAAAAATTTATGACATCTCACAGAGTTTGTTTTCTGACCACACCATAAATAAACCGGTAATCTCTAACAAGACTGAGGAAGAAGATGGAAGATGCAGATTACAAATATCAGTGTTTCAAACTACAGTATCTGTGTAACAAACTACTTCAAATCTAAAATCTAGTGGCTTAAAACAACAACCATTTTATTGCTCATAATGTTATGAATCAGGAATTTGCACATGGCTCAAGGAATGCAGCTCACCTCTGTTGCATGTGTTGTCAGTGGAGCTCATGCAATTGCATTCAGCAAATGGCTGATTTGGGTTTAAAGGTCTGAAATAGCCTTCCTCAGATGTATGGAATTAAGATGCTGATGGTTGGCTCCATGTGGCCTCTCTCCACATGGTGTTTCATCCTCCAAGGAGTCTTCGTGTGGCTTCTCTTCAGTAGGATATCCAGGACTTCTTTACATAGTGGCTCAGGGAACCGAATGGGCAAAATAAGGAAGCTGTGCCTTTGAGGACATAGTTTTTTTCTCAAGCCTGAGCCTGGGTGGGATCCTAGTCCATGTATTTTAGGGAATTTATAGCTGGATAATATTTTTCTCTGTATTATTATGTGAGCTGTTTTTGTTTTTATGCTTTCATTTTTGCCACATTTCTTTCTTATCTTGTTCACATTAGTAGCTGTGGTATAGTATTGACTATTTTATAATGCTTTCTCTCCAATTTTTTGACTGCCTGAAGACTGTTCTTTATTATATTAAAGGAAAAAAAACTAAAGGGCTCAAGGGGATAATTGAAGGGTTTCAGAAAACAGTATTCTCTAAATAACAGTTTGCATTAAAAAAATGTAGTCATTATCATATTAAGTTGTTCTTTAGCACAATGTAATTAGAACATCTTTCTGTTCCTTAGGATATGTTTACTTCTAGATTGGTGTCTAGAAAACTGCATGCATTATTTTATATTTGTGTTTTTGTCATGCTGTTTCCTTTTTTATCTTGTTTATGCTATCTGATGAGATATAATATAGTCATTTTTTTTACTCTCCTTACCCAACACATTTTCTACTAGACTTGTACTCCGGGAAAGGGGAAGGGTAGGTAGAACTTATAAAGCTACTAGTTCTTAACTTTCTTTTATCTATTATTACCTAGAGTTATCTGAGAACATTAGGCAAATCAGACATTTCTTCCCCATTCTTATGAAAGCATGAATTTCTAGTCACGTAAATTCAGTACTGGGTTTTTTTGGGTGAAATTATACCTCATGGCAAGGGAAATGCAGCCAGACCAAGCCTCCAGACTAGAAGTTTGTATGATTCTACTGTGTGCCTTCCTGGATTACATCATCATTTAAGTCATCCTTGCCTGTGCAATTAGAGAATAGGCTTGAGTGAGGCCAAGGATTTACATACAACACAAGGGGCAAAAGGAACTTTTCTTGCAAGCTCATAGCTACTGCATAGTGTTTGAGGACAACATAGAATCAAGTATTTGTAGCATTTTAAAGGAATTCCTGTACAAATTCTAGGCCCTCTCATCAACTCTACCACACTCTGATTCTGCTTAAATGGATTACTTTCAGATTAGGAGAAATTTAAGAGATCCCTGAGGGAGCTTCTGCCATAATTTGTGCAGTTTTACTTCTGAACAACATTCTTGTAGTTACTTTAAAGCTGTATCCCTTTAACTGTCACTCCTTAGTCCTAGTTTGGTTCTCTGATGCTATATAAAGTCTGATCCTTCTTTCACAGAACAAACCTCCAAATTTCAGAGATACATATCGTATTCCCGTGGGTCTCTGCTTTCCCATGGTCATCTTCTCTAGAATTCCTCAACTTTCCCTGATCTCACATTTAACCATCTTATTTTCGACTCCTATTTCATATGCTTTCTCAATGTTCTTCATGAGAAGTGACCCCAAACAAGTCCACAGAACCACACGTGCTGAGAGGAGACAAAGATATTCTTGCTCAAATTTTGGGCAGGTAGACACGAGTCACTTTAAGCTTTGAAGAGAGAAAAAAAGATTTCATGGAGGCAATTAAAAGGCTATACAGGTTTATCCTGTGAGGGCCGCACGCCCCATCTCCAAGGCCCCCCCAATGAGCCTGTGAGCCAACAAAACCTTTAGGTCACCGTTTAGTGAATTACTAGGGTAAAGTGACATTATGCTTTTTGACTGCTCACCTCATCCTGCCGCCCACCCCTCGCCCCACTCTCCACTTGCACTTAAAATCTCCTATTTTCCGATGGCGACAGATTAAGACGTAAATTCGAGGCCAATTCAATGAGAAGGCAGAGGTCCACGGCCACTTCCGGGTCACTTCCGGGTTCGAGCCGCGGACAGCTACGCCTCCGCCGACGAAGGAGGAAGTAGGGGCAGAGCGGCGTCTGTCTGCTCGCGGCCTGAAAGTCCGAGCAGATTTTTGCGCATGCTCAGAGGGAGTGGTCGGTAACTACTTCCGGTAAGGGTATACGCACGCTGTGGCAGCGTAGGGGGCCTGGGTTTAGTGTCGCAGAAAAGCCCCGGCTCCAGGGAGGTAAGCGCTGTGAGTGGCGTCCGTCAGTCATTGCCCACATTCAAAATGGAACCAGAAGGGCTGTGCTAGGATTCACCCCTGTCCTCCTCATTTTTCGTCCTGATTCTCTGAAACCTCGAGTTCTGAGGCAGAAGGGGTGCAGAAGCTTTGGTTACCGTGGCAACTGCATGATACCAGTTTCGTCTTTGAGAATTTGAGAACGGAGAACTTTTTCTGTAGGAATGCCTTAAAATATACGTCTGTCAGATTCAAATTCAGGTGCTATTTCAAACCCATGCTCCTAACCATAAGCTTTGATTTTAAAAGGTTCACTCGGACTTAAATGTGGAGTGGCAAAATTTGAGGCAGAGTAAGTTGTTAGAAAGCTAAAGCGGTCTTTCGACACCGTTTGAAGATGTCCTGACCGAGAGTGGTGGTATAGGATTTCGGAGAAGAGGGAAGATTGGAGAAATACTAGCAGATAGCGTCTGCAGGATTTAGTAATCGATTGGATATGGGGAATGAGGGGGAGGGCCCCTGAGCGTGTTGAGGATTAAGTCCAGACTTAGTTTGGCATATGGCTGTCTTTCTAGATTCCTTTCCCGCGGTCAGTTTTGCCTTCCGACCCCCTCCTCCACACAGACCCCAAACTCTGTTCATGCCAAGTAGTTTGATGTTCTGGTTCCTGGATTACTGTCCTCACCTTTCTTGTGATGTTGGGCCAGGTTACATAATTTCACTAAGCCCCTCATTTTTTCAGCATGAAAATGGACAGACATAATTGTACTTACCTCAAGATTTTTGTAAGGATTAAATTAGATAATTTATATGCCTGCTGTATATAAAGGGCCCAATAATGTTAATTACTACTCTTACCATGTACTCGTTTTGTTATGCATCATTTTACTTTTTCTTCCTCTATACTTATTTTTTAATTAAGGGGCAGTATCTTATCTGTCTTGGTGCATGAAACAGTAGTAGCTCATACTTTTTTTGAATGGATCATTTATTTTGGCTGTTGCTGACAATTTTATTTTACTTTCACAGAACTACCAGGTACAATTAATTTTGCTGATCAAATGATATTCGTTAGATAAAAAGATGGCATTTTTCTGTATAACTCAGAAGGCAGTGGATTAAAATGTATAGAGAGAGTAATTGATATTCTCAGTTTGGAATAGGTATGAGTGATTCCAGTGAAGAACTGAAAAGGCCCACAACAGAGGATGACCTGAGGGGAGTGCATGTGCTCTCTGGTTCAGGAATGTATTTTCCTTGGCTCCAAAAGCATGTAGAAACTGTGGGTAAGTAGAATAACACATAACTTTTAACTTTAATGCAAGGAGATGAAAAGATTCAATATGGGTCCAAAATGAAAAGCACACTGGCTCAATTTTCAGGTAGGAATATACGAAGGTTTTTTAAGCTGTAAGCAAAAAAGAAATAAATAGGTCCTTTTTTCTTTAAGAATTGTTTTCCTTTCTATTAATAACATAGTCTGTCTTACAGTAGATACATGTTTTTCCAGCAATTTACTGAATACTTATAATATCCCTGGCATTGACTAAATATTGGGAATATTTGTAACTGAAGAAGATATAATTTCTGCCATTGAAGAGTGCATACCTAGCCTGTGTTACCAAGATGTTTCTGTTGAACTGCACTGAACTTGATAGATTTGATAGTTGATCTATAATAGGTTTCAAAAAAAAGAATATTTCCCCCCATTTTTATCTAAGGTAAATATAAGCAAGTTTTCCTGAGATATATTCCCTGTAAGAACATATAAAAAAAGCATTTATCTGTATGTTGGCATGTTGCAAGGTGTAGTTCTGGGAATATATTTGAACCAGCTCTTTTATTATTACCTTCAAATACATTTGTTTTAGCCTCGCCCTCTTTCCTCTTGACTAAGATTCCTTGGCTCCTAGGGTTTAGCTCCTATTTCTCTATCTTTTAATCTAAATATCATCTCATTTAATTATCTCAGTAAATTAATCCTTCGTAATGTATGTGTTAGGCATTTTAGGGAGGAGCAAACTACATTTTAAAGAAGTTAAACTTCAAGTACTGGTATCAGGAGTCAAACCCAGGTCTGTCTTCCCAAGCCTATACTTTTAATGACAGAAGTGTAAATATATATATCTATATATATCTATATATATATGTGTGTGTGTGTGTGTGTGTGTGTGTGTGTATGAAAAGTTCCTAGTATAGAGCCTTATGCATAGTGATGTTGAAAAAATAATAGTTTCTTTCCTCTCCTTTTATTTTTGCTAATTGGTTCACATGGTTTAAGCTCGGTTCAAATGGATGATACTTCAGAGGGAGTGCTACCATACCCTTATGGGGGACTAGCAATCGAGAGCTCCTGCTAGTTAAGGCATACCTGGGCATGTTTCTGTCACCTGTGTTCTACAGAGAGCTCAAGTCAGTCCACAAGCAAATAGTTTTAAGATCAGAAAGTACATGCTTAGAAATGTTTCATGTTCTGGATAACCTGTTTTTGAATTGTTGAATTGGGGTCACTATGGGTAGACTCTTCTCTATTATCTTTATAGTGACTGGAGGGAAAAAGGAGAAGGATTTTGCTCAGACAACAAGTGCTTGTTTAAGTTTCATCCAAGAAGCTCTGCTGAAGCACCAGTGGCAGCAAGCTGCAGAATACATGCACAGTTATTTTCAGATCTTGGAAGATTCTGATAGCAACAAAAGGCAGGGTGCGCCTGAGGTAAGGAAAGTGTGAGTCTGCTGGAAGAGATTATAGATATCTGCACATTTCTGCCTCTTGAGCCCCACCCAGAATAGCTTTTGCAGGATCTCAAGTTCATCTTACTGAAAGCTACTGGAAGTAGTTTTGGGTGTTGGGATATTTTTGCATATTTCTTTTTTATTATAATTTTAAAGGAGACTAAAAATAATTTGAACTCTCAATTCTCAGAGTCCCCAATATTTATTCAATCATGTTAATAATTCTTCCTTCATTCCCCATGTCGTCATTTTCCCCTCTGTATAGGATGTTTTCTGTCATCATACAGATGTGTATTTCTCCCATCTTAAAATCATCTCCTGACCGCCGCTTCCGTCATAGGCTGTGCCCGACTTCCACTCTCCCTTTCAGCAAAACTCCCGGGAAGAGTGTTTACTTGTTCTCTCCCGACCTTCTCCATGAGGCTCCCCCAACCACCACCATCACCAGTTCTACCAAGTTGCTCTGTCAAGGTCAACAATGATCTCCATGTTGCTAAACCCAGTGGCCCCTTCTCAGTGCTTATCTAGCTTGATCTGTTGGCAGTTTCTGGCTGTGCAGAGCGTTTCCTCCTGTGTGCTAAACACTCTTCTCTGATTTCCAGGACGCTACACCCTCTCCCAGTTCTCTCTCCTTCCTCACTGGTTGCTGCTCAGTCTCCTTTCGGATTGCTCCTCTTCTCCTTGGCCTTTTGACACGGGAGCAGCCCAGAACTTAATCATTAATTAGTCCTCTTCCTTATTTGAATGCGCCTTTGATGACCTCATTCAGTTTGGTGGGCTTAAATTTAGTCTATATTCTAGTGATTTCCAATGTAAATTGTATGTCTGTGGCCCCGACACCTGTTCTTGAAGTCCAGATTTCCATATCCAGCTGTCTACTCCACATCTCTGCTTGAATATCTCATGGTCATATCATTCTAACATAGCTAAAATGGATCTTCTGATCTCCACCACCTGAGGTCATGGTTATTTTATGTCTAATTGCTAGGGCCCAAAAGTGGTGGAGTTATCTTTCTTTTATACCCCACATCCAGACCATCAGAAAATCCTGTTGGCTCTATTTTCAAAATATGTCTGCAGTCTAAATACTGCTTACCACCTCAATTGCTGCACCATGATCCAAGCCACTGTCATCTAAGTGCTTGCTCTCCTGTACCCCTCAGTCTGTTTTCTACACAGCAACCAGAGTGATCCTTTTTAAAAAAAATGATTTTATTGAGATATAATTAGCATATCTTAAAATTCACCCATTTAAATAGTACAGTTCATTTTTTCATATATTCACTGAGGTGTGCAACCATTACCACAGTATAAATTTAGAAGATTTTTGTTCCCCCCCAAAAAACCCTGTACCCATGTGCAGTCACTCCCTGTACCTCTTCCCACTCCTGCCACGACCTCTCCCCCACCCCCCACCCCAAGCCTGGCAACCACTAATCTGCCTTTTATTTTGGACATTTCACATAAGTGGAGTTGTATAATATATGGCCTTTGTGGATGTCTTCTTTCACTTAACATAATGTTTTCAAGGTGTGTCCATGTTGAGGCATGTAATAGTACTTCATTAGTTTTATTACAGAATAATACTCCATTGTGTGGGTCTAGCACATTTTGTGTATTCATCCAGCGGTTGTACACATTTGGGTTGTTTTTCCTCTTCGGTTTCTGTGAATGCTGCTATGAAATTTCATGTACAAGTTTCTGTAGGAATGTTTGTTGCAATTTCTCTTGGGCATATTTCTGGGAATAGCATTGCTGGCTCATAAGGTAACTATGTTTGACCTCTTGAGGAGCTACTAGACTGTTTTCCAAAGTGCTTATGCCATTATTACATTCCCACCAGCAAGAGATGAGGGTTGTAATTCCCTCACATCCTTGCCGGTGTGTTATTGTCTTACTTGTTCATTATAGCTCTTCTAGTGTTTGTGAACAGTGCCTTTTTGTGGGTTTGATTTGCATTTCCCTAATGACTAAAAAAATCCGTTCATAGCTGATGGAAGTTCTTAAATTGGTGTCCTGCGTAAGATTAAATAGAGTCTAGTTGTAGAACTTAATGGGATCTCACGAAACATCTAGTCCTTTGCCCTCATTTTGTGGAAAGTATAGACTGAAGAGTAGTAAAGAAGCCAATATTAATAGAACCCAAGTTTTCTGACTTTAATATTTTTCCTCCTATGCTAATTAAAAATTTTATTTTCACTATGTATCTTAATGCCTATCTTCTTTAGACTAGTACCTTAAAAATGGCACTGCTCTAGTTATCTGGTATTTTCATTTAATCAATGAAAAAGATTTTATCAGATAAGTAATCTTAGTTTCCCTGGGTGAAGTACAGTAAAAGGTACGGGGTGGTATCTAAGAAAGAAATTATAGGTTGCTTTTTAATGTAATCAGAAAAAAAAAGCTTTCTTAGGTACACTTTGGTTAAGGCAAGGATTTTACATTGTTATTAGTAATTTCTGTTTTGACAGATTATTTGGAAGCTTGGAAGTGAAATTCTGTATTACCATCCCAAAAGCAATGTGGAGACTTTTAACACCTTTGCTGACAGGATGAAACATATTGGTGTCATGAATTACTTAAAGGTGAGAATGTGGGCTTTGTGAGCTAACATTTGCAGTATTCATTTTTAAAAAGTTGCATGTTTCAGTGATAAGGAAGGTAATAATAGAAAAAGGTATGGAAAAACGGTAAGACATCTGGATAAATAAGAGAAGCTGAAAAAAAGCAGTGTTGTGAGAACCATTTACTTCTGCATTTTCTGTCATCCCTTGTTCTCTGAGTGAAAACACCTTCTCTTTGTGTATCTCATGGCCAAAGCCAGGCATTCAGTGATGGCATTGTGCTTCATTGTGATCATGGGCCAAATTCTAGTATCTTTGCTTTTAAGTCATTTGAAAATGAGTTCTCTAGGATTTGGTGCTTTTGGAAAAGAGAAAGAACTAAACAAATTGGGAATTTGAATACACACGCACACAAAATGTTTTTCCCCAGCTTTATTGAGATATGATTGACATGTAATATTGTGTAAGTTTAAGATGTACCATGTGATGATTTGATACATGTATATGTTGTGAAATATTTACCACAGTAAGATAAGTTAACATGTCCTGTAGGTGAGAAAAGCTCTACTCATAGCAACTTTCAGCTGTACAACCCAGTATTATTAACTATAATCACCATACTGTATGTTAAATCCTCAGAAGTTTCTCATCTCATAACTGAAAAGTTTTATCCTTGGACCAAAATCTCCTCATTTCTTCCACCCTTCAGTCCCTGGTAACCACCATACCCTGTTTCTGTGAATTTGGTGTTTTTTATAAGTGAGATCATATAGTGTTTGCCTGTGTCTGACTTCAGTTAGCATAATGCCCTCAAGGTCCATCTGTATTGTTGAAAATGGCAGTATTTCCTCCTTTTTTTATACTGCATAATATTCCATAGCCGTGTGCATGTGTGCAGATCTATATCACATTTTCTTTATGCATTCATCTATTGATGGACACTTAGATTGCTTCCATGTTGTGACTATAGTGAATAATTCTGCAGTTATCTCTTTGAGATAATGATTGCATCTTTGGATATATACCCAGAAGTGGGATTGCTGGATTGTGTTGTAGTTCTGTTTAACTTTTTGGGGAACCTCCATACTCTCTTCCATAGTGGCTGTGCTAATTTATTTTCCCACTGACAATGAACAGGGGTTCCATTTTCTCCACATCTTCACCAGCATTTGTTATCTCTCATTGTTTTGATAGTAGCCATTCTAATAGATGTGAGATAATTTATTTATCCTGCTTTTGATTTACATTTCCCTAATGACTAAAATACCTTTCATTTGTATGTCTTCCTTGGAAAAATGTTCAAGTCCTTTGCCCATTTTTTAATTGGATTTTTTGGGTTTTTTGACTATGGAGTTGTATGAGTTTCCTATATTTTTTTGGATATTTTTTAACCTCATCAGATTGATGGCTTGCATATATTTTCTTCCATTTCATGGGCTGCCTTTTCATTTTGTTGATTGTTTCTTTTGCTGTGCAGAAGTGTTATAGCTGGATGTAGGCCCACTTGTTGATTTTTGCTTTTGTTGCTTGTTCTTTTGGTGTCATATCCAAAAAATCATTGCCAAGACTGATATTACGGAGTTCTTTCCCTTTGTTTTCATCTTGAAGTTTCATGGTTTCAAGTCTTATGTTTAAGTCCTTAATTCTTTTTGAGTTACCTTTGTGAGGAATGTATTACAGGGGTCCAATTTCATTATTTTGATTGAGAATATCCAATTTTCCAAGCACCTTTTAATGAAGAGACTGTCTTTTTTCCATTAAGTATTCTTGGTTCACTTGTTAAATATATGCCAAATATATGACCCTAGTTGACTGTATATATGTGCATGGGTTCATTTCTGGACTCTCAGTTCTGTTCCATTGGTCTATGTGTCTGTACTGTTTTGATTACTGTAGTTTTGTAGTAAAGATTGAAGTCAGGAAGATTGCCTCCAGCTTTGTTCTTTCTTAGGACTGCTTTGGCTATTTGGGGTCTTTTTGGTTCTATAAAAACGTTAGCACTGGTTTTTATGTTTTTGTGAAAAATAGCACTGGAATTTTGATAGGGATTGTACTGAATCTATAAGTGGTTTTGGGTAGTATAGATATTTAAACAATATTAAGTCTTCTGATCCATGTATTAAAATGTTTTAATGTTCCTAATGTTCAGGTGGAACTTCTCCAAATTCTTAACATCTGTCAGTAAAAGTCTTGCAGAAGGATTGTTTCCAAAACATTAGATATCTCCCTGTCTGAAGTGATATTTCACTAAAAGAGAGAAGTTTTTAAATGCTTTACTTTTTAATTTTTTTCAGTGTCTATAAATAAAATTATTGAAACACAGTCACACCTAATCATTTCCAAATTGCCAAAGCTGCTTAGAATATGACAAAGGACAGAGCTGTGACAGAGACCATCTGGCCTGCAAAGCCTAAAATATTTACTCTGTGGTTTTTTTTTTTTTTTTTTTCACTTTTACTGTTCCTATTTCTAATTTTTTTTGTGGTAAATTAACTATATATGACATAAAACATGCTGTTTAACCATTTGTAAATGTACAGATCAGTGGCATTAATTACATAGTGTTGTGCAATTATCACCAGTATTTCCAGAACTTTTCCATCATCCCAGATAGAAACTCTGCACCCATTAAGCAATTACTCCTCATTCCCGCCTCCTCCCAACTCCTGATAACCTCAAATCTGTTTTCAGTCTTTATGAATTTACCTGTTCTAGATATTTCATATAAATGAAATCAGAATATTTGTCCTTTTATGTCCAGCTTTTTTCACTTAGCATAATGTTTTCAAGATTTATTCACGTTGTGGCATATATCAGAACTAAATCCCTTTTTATGGCTGAGTAGTACTTTGTCATATATGTCACATTTTACTTATCCATTCATCTGTTGAGTTTTTTCCGCTTATTGGCTATTGTGAAGAATGCTGCAATGAACATTGGCGTCCAAGTATTTGTTTGAGTCCCTATTTTCAGTTCCTTTTGGTATATGCCTAAGAGTAGAATTGTGGGGTTGTGTCTTATATATATAAGAAATATAGTAACATAATTTTAAACAAATACATATAATATATAACATAATTCTATGTTTAACTGTTTTAGGAATCACCAAGTTGTTTCCTTTTGGCTGCACCATCTTATATTCTCACTCTTTCTAATTTTGAAAAAAGGTTTTCTCCTAGTTTAGGTTTCTTTTAGATCTTATTAATTTAGGAAAATTTTTCTGAGTCTCTACTTACGTGCAAGGTGCTCTCTTTTGATCTTATTCTCTAGTAAACCAGGTATACTGAGTGGAAATTCAATGGAGACAGCACATGGTCCCTCTTACGGAAGAACTTGCTAATTGAACTGTTGGAAAAAAGAATGGCCTGTCTTGGTGTTGTGTGCAGCCGTCTCTTCTTTCAGGAGGAAACTGGATAGCCTTTTGATTGGGGAGGGAGGGTGGAGTTTTAACTACATTACTGGTTAGGTCCTTTTGAGCTCATAGAATGTATCAGTTGAAGTAAGGGAACTTGAGACGAACCTTATTTCATACTCCAGAGTCTGAGAGTGGAAATGAGATAGGCAATAAAACATTGTCTTGTTAGTAATTTTAAAAACACTCAATTGCATTTTCTAGGTAATGTGTTAGACATGGTTCTTGTAGTGGAGGGAGAGAGGAGTTAAATGGAATTAATTATTATGACTTCCATAGTAGAAATGCAATGTACAGTGAAAAGACAAGGAGAAAATGGTGAGTTCCTGGAACTGGAGAGGGCTGGGACTTACTGTGTAGGGGAAACAGGGAAAGAAAGGGAACGATGTTGGAGATGAGTCTGAGAAAGCAAGTGGTTGTTCACTTGGCGTCCTGGGGGAAAGGGTCGTCCAGCATGGCAGTGGACTAAAGAGTTAAAGAATCAAATATTTCAGTTACTCTAAAAATCACTTGGGTAGAAGCCAGGGAAAGCAGGCCGGGCCCTGTGTACCATACCTAAGCAGCTTAGATTTTGTTCTGTAAGTCGGGGAAGCCTTTAAAAGATGTTACACAAATGACTAACAAGATGAGATTTCTTTGCAGACACAGGGGAGATGGATTGTAGAGGCTGGGATTGGAGAGACCAGTTGAGAGAAGATTGCAGTGGTTTGTGATGGAGGCCTTGAGTGCTAAGGTCTGACTACTCACGATTAACTACTTTTCATTATTCTCCTCAGTGTCCTCCCTCCTGGTGATGCTCATTCTCTGCGTAATTATTCCTATTTCTTCTCCTGCATCAGAGATTCACTTTCCTGTCCATCTGAACTGATGCTGTTCTTCAATACCCCTTATTAAGATGTTTGAACTTACATAACATTCATAAAATAAGTTACTGACTACCTGGTGACGCCAAGTTAGGCGTTAGGTGGTATGTAAACCTCATTTAATTAATTATCTCATTAATTATCTCATTTAATTCTCATCAGACTAATAATAATTGTTATTATTATAACATTTATAATATAATTGTAACGGCTAATAATAATTGTTCCATATAACAGATGAGAGTCACACTCAGGTCCGTGTAGCTCTTCAGTGGCATCTGAGTCAGGACGCCCTGTCTTCAAAGCTACTGTTCTTTTCACTATCTCACACTGTCTTCTGTCTGTGAGTTTATACAGATTAGTTCTCATTTACATCGTGTTAATTGTTTCATAGATCTTTCATCTTGGCTGGATTGACATTTTTGATGACAAGGACAATGTTGTTATATCATTTGTGTCCTACCAAAGTCTTAACCCAGATCTATCATATATTTACTGTGCTTTTTGATTAATTGTTATCTAATGACCTATATATAATTTTTCTTATTACTGGTGCAGATCTCCTTACAACATGCATTATACCTTCTGCATCATGGAATGCTTGAGGATGCAAACAGAAATTTCAGCCAGGCAGAGACATGGAGATACGGTGAAAAGTCATCTTCCCAGGAAGTGTTAATCAACCTTATTCAGGCCTATAAAGGGCTTTTGCAGTATTATACTTGGTCTCAAAAGAAGATGGAATTATCTAAGCTTGGTGAGTGAACATAGTGAACTTTTTCTTATGATGAGACTGAATTAGAGGGACAGAAGGGATCTTAAGGGAATAGTCTAATTCCCCTACTTCCAAGCCTTTCTTTATCCAGATGTTACAGAGAACAGACATTTTTATTGATGGAAAATTCATGATCCTACTTTGTAATATTTCTGATATATCACAAAAATTTTTGGACATAAATTAGATGATTCATAAATTAAAATCATGACCATTTTAGATGAACTACTTTTTAAAATATGATTTCTAAGAAAGGTTACAAATTTTCTTCAGTGGGCATGACTGCATATAATAAACATTTCTTCCTGTGTGTGTCTAGAATGGAGTTTGTTTTATAATGTTATTTCTTAGGATAATATGTTTAAAGAATAGGGCAAGATAAAGTTGTTTCACTTCTGGACAAGGGTCACAACAGGTAATTTGCTCAATTTACTGACCAAGCCAAAAATTGAACATGTGTCTGTCCTTCTCAAACTGAGTTCCCTTTCACTTGCAGTGGTGATATGAACCTCTCCTCCCCGCCTGATTTGTGTTCTTTGGAGCTATGTAATTCTTTGCATTTTCTTCTCTTGTGTAGTTTTTCTGTAGAGCTGCTTTAGGATTAACCCTTTCATTTTTATTTTCTCATCCTCCGTCCAAATCTCAGTTCTGGTATCATGTCATGTGTGGTGAGCAGTCTGCTCTCATTATTCTTGTGTGGTTAAGTATTATCTCCTTGGTCTCTTGGACATGTGGTTTCACTAATCCCAAAACTCCCTTCCCTCTTTCTGTCTGTGATCTCTCTTCCAAGACACTTCTGAAATGCTATTTTCATCATCATCATCTTTTAAAGTCTTTGTTCAGTTTCCTCACCGAGAATGCCATCTGCTTTTCAAAACTCATAGATCCCTCATTCTAGTACCTTAAACCTGATACATTAGCTGCATGTTCAGCCTATATCACTTTGCTCCTTACGTCATGCTTTTTAATTGTTCTAAGTTTTCTCATGTGCATTTTAATGTTGCATCTCTTCTAGAGTAATCAGTCTTTGCGCTCACACATCTGTTCCCTCTTTTGTTAACCTTGCCATAATGTCTGGTGTAATGATTCTTTTAAAAAGGGCCTGCTGATATTAATTGATTAGGTGAGCTTCAGAGTCAGTATTTACTTTTTCTTACACATGGTTAGGTAGAACTCAAGCAAATATTTGATGATTAAAGCAGTTGGCACATGGCACTTACACTGTCTCTTCCATGGATAAATGATTCAGCACCTTTCTGCAGCTGGCACTTTGTAACAATGAGAAGTGAAGGTAGGATAGTATGTGGAGCTCCTTAGATGATCATTAACCTCAATTGTCTGTGTAATGAGAAAAAAAGTTAGCACTAGTTTTAGATAACCAGACTCATGAGAACATAGCACATGAACTTCTGCTCTGAGTTGGCTTGGGAATTTTTCCTTGCTGCTGTGGCCTGTCCTGGTTGGGTTTGATGGACTTGTTGACTTGGAACCCCCTTTCCCAGTAAATTCAGACCCAACTCATACTTCTCAGGCATCTGCCTTTTTTTCCTTGAAATTTTTTTTTCTATATAATTTCTTAACTTCTTTTCCCTCATCACCTCATTTCCAAGTCCATATTGATATTTATTGGAAACTACCAATGGTTTCTTTTGATGGGGGGCTTACATTGTGTCCACAAAGTCACATTGGTACTAAAAAGTATTTAGTGCTTCTATTAGCTGTTGCTTTTGAGAGACCGAGTTACTTTCCTTCTACACCTTCAAGATGGTAAAATATAACATATACAGAAAAAGTGCATAAAACAAATGTCCTATAAAATGAATTATTATAAAACAAATATCTATGTAGCTACCACCTAATTCACACTGAATGTTCCACGTATGTGTCCCCTGATCATGTATTCTCTTGTTCTGTCTTTTCTTGGGGACGTGTTTGTGAAGAATTAGTATATTGTCTAAATGTTAGAATTCACCAGTGAAGCCATCAGAGGCTGAGTTTTTCTTGTGGGAAGTTTGTTGATTACTATCAGCAGACACCCTCAACACTGAATAATTTTTTAAAATCTTCATCTTTGGGCAGATAAGGATGATTATGTTTATAACACAGCATCCCAGAATATGCTTAACCACAGCTGGAAGACATCTGTAAACCTTTGTGCATTGATTCAAATTCCTGGAGTTTGGGACCCTTTTGTGAAGAGTTACGTAGAGGTAAGTAGACTTCATAAAGGTTTATTAGTTTCATTTTATTAAAAGCCTAATCTTTATTGATCAGAAGACACCTAGTGGAGAAAATTAAAAAAAACAAAAAAGAAGATGATGTCTCTTTTTTAGGTCTGAATAACTTGTTTATTTTACTACTATACTACAAATGTTACTCTGTATGTATTTTTACCAGTGAATAGCATGTTATGGTCAAATATTTATAAAATGAAGAGCAATATATAGTCATAAATGTCAATTCTGTATTATTCTTATTGGGCTTAAAAGAAAAGCTGAAGGTCTTTTATGATTTGTTGTGATGTACAAGGGAAGGGGACAAAAATCTGAAACTAGCTTTTAGGGAGTTTATGAGGATGTTGTGTTATCTCAGAGTCCTTGTAGAAGGACTGAGGGCCATGGCACTGGGCACAAGGAGTAAATCTTGAAAATAATTTGCTTTTTGGAAGTTTCATGAGTGCTAAAGTGTCAGAAGATAATCTCTGAAATCATATGCCAGCGGAATTTGGGATTCCTGTGTTAGGATGGGAACTAAACAAAAGGAATCGGAATTTCCCTGCACTTTCGTGGCTGACGTCAGTAAGGCACTGAGGTTGGTTGCTTAATTTGGTCTTTTTTATTTGTTAGTGTGGCCTACTTTGAGGACTTCATTTCGTATAGGAACAGTTCTTATGTTGAAGTTGCTGCATTTTTCAGTAACAAAACATGATAAGGGAAAAATGGGAACCCATGTAAGCCTTTGTTGGGAGTGATCTGTGTTCTGTAGAGGTTGTGACATGCTCATGAAAGTAGAAAGTAGCATTACTGTTGCCCCCTATACAGTAGGTACTGTTTGTCAGTTTAGGAATTTTTTGTACTGTTTGTCAGTTTAGGAATTTTTTGTACTCATCAATACAGTTAAGTGGTACATTATCTTTCATATGGCTATCTACAACTAGCTAAGATATTATGACTTACTTTCTATAGATGCTGGAATTCTATGGGGATCGAGATGGAGCCCGAGAGGTACTGAGCAATTATGCCTACGATGAAAAATTCCCATCAAATCCAAATGCTCATGTCTACTTGTACAACTTTCTAAAGAAAGAGAAGGCACCAAGAGAGAAACTGATAAGTGTGCTGAAGGTATAGAATATTTTAATGTTTGCACAGGGCTTGAGAATCTACTTTAAAATATTTTTAGTCATTGTTTTCCAACTTGCGTATGATAGCATGCATAGAAAATGACAGTGTTCGCTTGGTACACTGAGGAAACAGAAGAGGCTGCAGGCTCTAGGCAGGCCCCTGCCACCACCGGTACCCCACCCCCTTGCCCAAGTTAGACTGAGAGGAGGCAGTGTTGCAGAAGCCCTTTGCCAGCCTTGTTGGAAAGTTCTGCACTGATATTTTCTGAAAATTAACTTTACTAAAATTTAATTTACATGCAACACTTACTTTAACTATACACTTGGATGCATTTTAACAAATATACACATCCATGTACCCATGATACTCAAGATACCAAACATTTCCATCACCCCGGACAGTTCCTCATTTCTCCTTACAGCCAATCCACTCACATATTCCTGGCCCTAGGCAATCAGTGTTCTGCTTTCTGTCACCATAGATAATCTTTACTTCTAGAATTTCTAAATGAAATCTTCATTATATACTCTCTTTGTCTGGCTTTTCTTGCTCACCATAATGGTTTTGAGATTCACTCGTAGTATTGTAGGGACCTGTAATTTGTTCCTTATTATTGCTGAGTAGTATTCTGTTTTTGTTCATTTACTTCTTGATGGACATTTGGGTTATTTTCACTCTTTGGCTGTTGGTGAATGCTGCTATGAACAGTCATGTACACATACAAAGACTTGTACAACCTAAATTAATGACCAAGAAAAATCCTCATCTATCTTCTTTATTTTAAAAGGCCAATTAGCTTTGATCTGTACCTGCATATTCATCGAAATTGACCTAATTAAACCTTCTGACATGGAAACTGTACATTTTAGAAAGTTTTCAACAGCCATTGTTTCATACACAATGCTTTTAAAGTCGCTATTTTGCTTGGCAAGATTTCCTTTCACTGATTTTTTGCACAGTAAAATACTAAGGATAGTTACAACAGAAGCGGGCTGGCGACTCCATTCGGATGGTCAGACACCAGTGGTGTTTTTGAAAAGACTAAAAGGTAATGCAAAATAACTATGCTGAATACATGTTTAAGACAAGATGAATTTAGAGAAATTCCATTTTACTTTTGAAAAATGCAATATTTGAAATTAAGAACTCAATCCATGGATATAATAGCTGATTGAACATAGCAGGAGAGAATTAACGAACCGTATAGAACCTATCAGCCCGAAACACAGAAAACAAACAGGATAGAAAGGGTAGAAATGAGTTTACAAAGAACTGGGTGAAAAGCCTGACAAACTTGTAATGGGAGCCCCAGGGAGAGGAGGGAGAGAAGAGGGCAAAAGCGATCGATTAGACAAACAAAGCCACTTTTTGAAGACCTAAAATGGCTAAGAATTTTCTAAAACTGACAAAAGACTGCCAGATAATGTCCTATATTTTTGGTCTGGGTAGTAATGACATGAGTTTGTATGGCTTTGTCAAAGTTTATTGAGCATACTCATGATTTATATATGTTTCTATTACATGTTATATTTCAATAAAAAGTTTTTTAAGAATCTTAAGTTAATTGAGCCATTTATAGAGTTCCATAAATCGTAAGACAAATGTGATTTCATGAACTGGGTTTTAATAATACTCTCTGATACTGCAACATTGTTCTTGATTGATTGATCGCCACTTGAGAGAAATTAGCAAAATTTACTTTTCATTTTGTAGGAAACTATTTCAGTGTAAGGTCAAAAGATTTCAGCAAGCAGACAGAATAAATTCATTTCTAATAGTACATGTGTTGAAGTGAGATATATAATTTTACTTTAAACCCAGTTATTTGCATATTCATAAAAATAGCCCCATTTTTCTTCTTTCTTTTTTTCCTTTTTTTCTTTTGGTATCATTAATATAAAATCTCATGGGCAGCACTGTGGTCACTAGATTCCCCCTATTATCAAGTCCCCCCACATACCCCATTCCAGTCACTATCCATCAGCGTAGTAAGATGCTATAGAGTCATTACTTGTCTTCTCTGTGCTATAGTGCCTTACCCATGTTCCCCCTAAAAAACAGCCCTATTTTTAAAAGGAAAACCCTCAGTTTCTCCCTATTACATAAAAAGGTTGTAAAAATATGCACTTGAATACTCTTACTGTCCTGTGGTCCTGGACACAGTCTACCAAAGTAGTCACCCTTGCCTTTTTGGTTTTTTTCTTTTATAAGTATTCTGTGATCGTTTGTGATCAATACATATTTACTAAATATCTTTCTGTGTGATATTGTATTTTTCCTGTATTTTTTGTCTCAGTCCTAGCTTCTAAAAAGAAATTAAAATTTTAAGTGTGGTAAACAGTACAAAAAAATAAATGGAGAAAATGAGTCTCTATGTATTTCCCTCTATCCACCCCAGTGACTCTCTTATTATTAGCAGGGATTTCTTTATTTGATAGCTTTACATAGAATGCCTTTCTGTACTCAGATTAGAAGTGGATAAAAGCAAATCCTTGATTCATTTATTTAGGGCATATTAGACATTGAGAACTTTCTTTGAAAGCTGAAATTTGAGAAATGCCTTTAGCCTGTCTGAAAATTACGAGATGCTTCTTTCTTTCAGATTCTGTATCAGATTGTACCATCTCATAAACTGATGTTAGAATTCCATAGATTGCTGAAAAAATCAGGTAAGTTATTTTTGTCTTATTTCTTTGTGCAGACAAACTGTAGAGTAGTGGGCTAGGGGTCAGCAAACCCATTGGCCAAATCTGCTCCTCACCTGTTTTTATAAATCAAGTTCTGTTGAAGCACAACCATGTCCACTGTTTACATGTTGTCTATGGCTGCTCTTATGGTGCAACAGCAGGGTGGCATAGTTGTGACAGTAGACAGTATGGGTCACAGAGTTTAAATATTTTCTGTCTGGCCCTTCACAGAAAGTTTGCTGACCCCGGCTATAGAACATCAGGCAATAGTTAGCAGAAGAGAAATGGTTTAAATTTATATAGTTCACCTCATTTTAATCCCTACTATGTTCCGGCTCAGTATAGAAAAGAATATACTTCATAGGAGGAAATCAGCTTCAGTCTACACTGCTAGGTCCTGGGACTACCTTGGTACGTCTCATAATAGAAGAGAACATGCTTAAAATGCCCAAATAGGGCAAGTACTTAAAATAATATTCTCAGGAGTATATGACCTATTAGAGGTCAGACTCACCACTGACTTCATTAGCATGAACTGAACTACTGAATTTTTCGGATTCATCACAGGAGGGTATAAGCACAATGAATTGTTTTAAACTGTTAACCAAAATAGAAGGCTTACAATTCAGGAATATTTTATGAACTCAATATATTTTTTTGGCTTCGTGTACCTCAGTGCCCTGCGTAAACTCTAGTTATGTGTGACCATTGCAGAAAAAGAAGAGCACCGTAAACTGGGATTGGAGGTATTGTTTGGAGTCTTAGATTTTGCGGGATGCACTAAAAATATAACTGCTTGGAAATATTTGGCAAAATATCTCAGACAGACCTTAATGGGGTAAGAGACATATAGTATTTATTAAAGGATCAGTATAAATAATATTTCCCAATATTTTAGCTAATATCTATCAGTTTTTTAAAGTTCTTTGCTCATGTTTTTGGACTTTTTGAACTGTGTCTTCGTCTGTTTTCTGCTGAGTACGTCAAAAGTAAGGAAATCCAAGGTCATAAGTAAAGCATACAAAATTCTATCAAGATTTCTTTTATGCTCTCAAACTTCATACTGTAGCACTACACTGCGAGGGGTACATGCGTGTGTAGATTGGAATAAGGACCAGACGGGATGGTGCCCGCTCTCTTGGCAAAGCTCCTTGTGATTTATGTGTCGTTAGCTTCCAAGATCACGTGAGGAGCAGCGTTCCTCCCAGTTGTTTTCAGTAATTTCAGCGGGTGTTTAGGGCCTCAGAAGATAGTCATTGTAGGTTATTCATTCAATAAATATTTATTAAAGTCCATTGTGAACCGGGTATCTAAAACTATACCTCTGATTATAATGTCATTAGTGCCACATTTTGAGTAAAACTTTGTTATGTGGGAAGAAAGGATATAACAAAATTAAGTTTCATTTATTTATTACATCCATTTTAGTTGGTTAGAAAATTCAGTGTCAGTGGGAACTTGTTTCAGGCTTCAGATCTGACCTGACCTTGGAGATGGAACAGTGCTGATTATAAAATGTTACTGGTGTGATATGTTCATGTACTCACTGTAAGCCACTTTCTAAATCTAAAGCACTACATAAACTACTAACCATAAAGTTCTTGAAGGTGGAGAAAAGTGCTGTTTATTTTTTGAAACTCCAAGTTCTGCCATAGGGCACAAATAGGTACTGAATATTTGCTCAATCAAGTTATTGATGAACACTCAGCATTGTGTTCATGTATTTGTATAATAATGGTATCTTAATTTGTATAGTAATTCTTTATAGCGTATAATTTAAAGTAAGGCTTTAAAGTAACTTTTAAGTAATAACAGTAATGCAAAGAGCTTGCAATGAGACCACTATGCTGCTGGGCCAGTTTAATCCTAGTATGGGTACCATTAATATCCTCAAGGAAATTGAGGCTCAGAGGGGTTAAGCAGCTTTCCCAGGATCACATAGATAGAAAATGGAAGAGCTGAGATATGAATCTAAAATTTTGACTTCAGAGTCTCTGCTGTTAATCACTGTGCTATGCTGAACTAGCTATTTCATTAAATGGAAAATAGGACATGGAAATCAAAGAACTACAAAGGGATTTGCTTTCCTACGTGTGCTGTCCCATGGCTGTAGCCATAAATTAGCTGGGAAATACCTTCCGTGTCATCTTTTACAGACAGTGTAGATTCATCTCTATCCTTGACCTTCCCTCTCGATATTTTTCTTTCCCAGGAATAATGTTGCCTGGGTTCAGGAAGAGTGGAGCTCCAGGAAAAACTGGTGGCCAGGCTTTCACTTCAGCTACTTTTGGGCAAAAAGTGATTGGAAAGAGGATGAAGCTTTGGCTTGTGAGAAGGCTTTGGTAGCTGGACTGTTGTTAGGAAAAGGTACATGTTTTTGTTTTCTTTTATCTAGACATGTCTTTTGGACAATTTTGAAATTGCAGAGTATGACCATTCATTCATGTTACAGCTTACCTAGTACAGTGCCTAAGGATATTAGATGCTGAGAAATAACTTGAGTGGAAAAATGAATGCTGAGCTGGGGCCAGGTGATCTGCTTGTAAGGAATCTCCATGGATTACTGATTTCATATTGTTGATTGTAGTTGGGTTTTATGCTCTAACTTGAATATCTTTAGGAGCCATTAAGTGAGAAGATGCAGGCTGTTTTCACAACAAATGACCATTTGGCGGTGCTATGTATAGAAAGTTCACTGAGATTGCCTGCTTTATTAGAAATAGAAAAATACTCTTTATGGACCTCACTGCTTTATAATAAATGTATATTTACTTATCTGTTCCTGTAAGGATGAAACATTTTTTTCCCCTTAAGAGAAAGTATACCACCTATTAACTCATTTAAAACTCCACTTACAAGAAAGGGAAATTGATCCTTTCTTTGTGGAACATCTTGGCTATTAGAACTCTTACCTGCTTTGTCTCACTGAAAGATGAAAAGGTAGCCAGTATTGAAATGAGACACCACAGAATGTGTTCAGAGATGAAGAAAGTGAACCCCACAGTGACCAAGAGTAAGCAGTTTGTTGCAAGGGAGTTTTAAAGTATCCTAACGAGATTTTTCAGGTTCGTTTTAGGTACAGTTTATATTATTTTGGAATTAGTGTTCTCAGCGGGTGTTTCAGATGGTTACTAAGATTAATGAATGCTGATTTTAAAATTTCTCTCTGATACACTGATGACAAGGAAGAGATGTGATCTGGACTATGATTTTTCTATGTTATGAGTATAGAGGTGTCTCATACAGGTATCTAAAGGCATCTTTAGATATGAGAAGAGTCTGAAGGCCTGGGTTAATTTTCCAGTTCTGTCACTTAATCTTTTCATGTCTCTCAGGCCCACCTTTGGGAGCCTCTCTGAAATGGCCCTTGTAATACCTGTCCATGTTTGCTTACAGGATTATAAGCATCAGGTGAACATCACATCAAAGTGCTTTATAAACTCTGTAAAGTACTGTCTGAATTTCTGGCATAATATTCATGCCTGAAAGTGGGCATAACTCCCTCCTCTTTCAGGGGCTTAGTGTGGGGTTTGGGTCAGTCTGCAGGAGTTGAGCTGGGTTTCGTTCTTGCTCCGGTTGCCCTCGTTACACCACAGGACTCAGATCCTAGCTGTGCGCTGCCGTTGCTCTGTGCCTAGAGCGGGCTGTGGCAGCGGCCCTGCTTCCCGTTCTCGGCTGAGGTGAGCCAGGCCCGTTTCTCGCTGGGGCCTTTCCTGCTTGCCGTGCAGGCTCCCTGGTTGCCCTGTGACGTCAGCTGTCATGGGTTCAAGAAGAGTTAGGAGCATCTGGTTCTCTATGATAGGGTGGGAGCAAAGTTCTTCCTGTATTTTAAATAGAAGCAGAGATCTGTGTACAGAGTATTTTGTTTTTGTTAAGTGGTAGATGTATTTAGAGACACAAATTACTGTATTAATACCACAGATACCACTGCTTCCCAGCTAATAAAATACTAGTAATTCTGGCATCCTATTATCAGGGATCATAAAATGATTTCTCTAGGTACATTATATAGCCAGCAGTTCCTCAGAGAAGATGGATATATACAAACTGAGAAATTAATTTTTCATATGTGATTTATGGTGTTATTTATTTATCAAATAAAAACACGTATATAGCCAGTTTACATTTTTCTTACAGAAATTTGATTCATGTCTCTGAGATATTTAACATGCGTTCCTCTTAGCATTGTAACACTGAGAAAGCAGGTGGACTTCCTATGAGCACGAGGCACCTTTGTCAGAGCAACATGGTTCTGTCTGGCTGCTTGCTAGATGGCTAGAAGGACTGCATGATTTTTTATTCTAACTTGTGATTTGTATATTCTACTCCTTCACATCAAGATTTTCTAGAGACCTCCTGTATTGTTATAGGTGCCTCTTTGGCTGTTTTATAAGATGACATTGAAAGGGAAGCTATAGTAATTTGCTTTTAGGGAGGCTCATTAATATCTGAATATATGTAATATGTATATCCCCTTAACCGGCCTTAAGAGGCAGGGTAGAAAGCAAGCTAACATATATGCTTTGATTATGAGGGATCAGAAACATCTTCATACATAGGAAGCAATATACTTCATTGGTGACAGCTCTTAGAATGTGTTTAGGACATATTGGTATAGATAATGCAAATCCATCTATTTTCCTGATCGTTAGTATGCCAGAGTTGAAGCAAAATTTTCAAAATGTAGAAACAATGCCTAAAGAATTGACTAAAGGTTAAAACTGTTTATTTTGCCTTTTTTGTTTTTTAGGTTGTAGATACATTCGGTATATTTCAAAACAAGATCATCAAGTCCTGAGGAAGAAAATTAAGTGGATAAAGAAATCAGTGAAAAAACACAGTATTGTAAATCCAAGAGTCTGATACTGAATTTTAGTTATTTCAGATTAGCATTGGTAGTTCAGTAGATAGTCATTGAATGTATTTATTTATTTGATCTTTCAAGAAGGTAGTTTATATGGCTACAAAGAAGTTATTTTTATATTTTTCTATGTTTTCTTTTACCAGCAGTTATAGCTAGAGAAACAGTCTCACTGCCTTTGCAATTTATAAATACATTTTTTTCCTCTTTTGTACTGTTAAACTGTAACATTTATTAAGGAACACTCTTCAAATAAAAATATATTTATCTAATTAGAGAATACAGTTCTGCAGCACTTATTGCTGTTTGCCTCTGACTATTGTTATAAGATACAACTTATGGTAGTGTTAAATGAGTTTATATTCTTCTTTTAGATTCAAAATGATCCCTGTTACATTTATCACCGTGCAGAATATATTGGGCATGAGTTCTGTTGAGGAATTTTGGAAACAGGATTTAGAAAAGGACTTCGTTTTCTTGGTATAAGTTTGGGGTTAAGGGGCCTTCTGGCAGGAAGGTATCTTTGACTCTAGAGGACGACGTCGGGTCAGAGAGGGTAGAGTGGGCTAACTAGCACTGGCCTGACTTCAAAGGGCTCTCGATTTTTTCTGTTTTGTTTTTTATTTGCCAGCAATCTTAAGACATGCTTTAGAACTTCTGTGGCCTCTCCTTCTTGAAAACTAAGATGCATCAGGAGGCAGCCGGACAGTGGAGAAGACTGCCAGTGAGTTAGTGCCCCGGGCCCCACAGTGACAGGAAAGCTTGGCCCAGAAGCGAGGAACAACTTTCCTGGAATGTGAGCTGGGGTTTTATAATGTGTTGTGATAACAGGTAGAGGAAGTGTTTCTTCGGAACTGTCTTGGCTCTTACACATTTACTCTTAAGATAATTTGTATTTGAGTTCTATGGAGGCTCACTAACTTCGGAGCAAGTCCAATATTTAGATGGCAAATGACCTATTTTCCCCATTGGCTTATATTCCTACTCATTTTTAACCATTTGCAAGAAAGTTGGGGGGCAAATTATGCTTTCTTAATAATTTAGTTCAGTATTTTATACTTAGTAAGAAATGACTATCAAGAAATAACCATCCCAGCCTTATAATGTACATATGAAACAGGTAGGTGCCCTGTGGAACCCATAACCCATAAACCAAGTTAAAGCTACTGCATGAGTTGGGCCAGCTTTACTGCTGGGAGTCAGTGGTTGTATTGTATAGATATTTTGTACCAAGTCAACACTAGGAATAAAATTCTCAGGTAATGTGGACAAAATCTCAAGCATCAGATGATGTAGACAAAATCTCAAAGCACAGGCCAACATTGTCAGGGCATCTGTACCCTGAAACCTTTAGTCAAAAGCTATGAAACAGGATTTATGACTTCTCATGGTCTCTAGCAAAATGGAGGTGAACATGAAAGAGAAACGAGTAGGTACGGTTTTTGGTTTCCACACAAAGCTTAGTTTCCTAATTTTTCTTTCAAATGTTCCTGTCTAATCATGCGGTAAGAGCAGTGTGAATCAACAACCTGGATATTTTTTAGGTCCACTAAAGTGAAAGCCAGTTTCATGAATGGTAATGGCTAAAGTTTATCAAGCACTTTGAGCTTTACATTTCTTCATAGCGTTGCCACAATCCTATAAGTTATCCCTATCTTACCAAGAAAGAAAGTAGGGTTCTCAGAAATTAGGTAACTTGCCCAAGGCCACAGCTAAGGAAGTGGAATTACCAGGACCGTGACCCAATCAGTGTCGTTCCAAAGATCACACACTGTCTGTGCCAGTTGAATCAGTGTTCAGAACATGCAGAGCGCTGAGGTAAGTAGCAAGAAAGAGTCGGGGGACCCAGAGCCCAGAGCCTAGCAGCTCAAGCAAAGCCCAGCCTCTCCCCAAGGCTGGGTAGGTGCCCTCTCTGTGTCCTCACTGGTTCCTTCCTATACAGCCTCTTAGCACTGCATTGTTCAATAATCTATACATCTGCATCTCAAAAGTGTATTCGCTAGGCCTAATAATCTCCGTATCACCAACACCTAACAGAATTTGTAGCTCATTAAGCATTGAGTAGAACTGAATGAAAATTTATGAAAGGTACTGTATTGGGAAGTAATATCCTGGTGAGTTTATGCCAAGTGTAGGGCCTCAGGAGACAGAGATTTGATACCATTTGGTAGTTAGGAGACTTCTTGGGCAAGTTCCTAAGCTTTCATAGTTTCTTCAACTGTAGATTGGACACAACAGGATTTATGTCATTGGATTGCTGTGAAGAATGACAAATGTAATTAATGCCTTAAGATAATAATGTTTAAAAAATGTTAACCATCCATCATAACTAGACAGGGACTAAACAAAGATGATTTAAAGCCTTGTTTTCCCCTAGAAACCTCCAAAGTATCAGAACTGTGTAATGGATGAGTTAAAGCTTCCTGCTAATTACACCCGGCTTTCAATCTGTGTGTAACCCAGCCGTCAGCCATGGACTTGAAGGCTCCCCGCACATGTGGGGATGTGCACTCTGCACGGTTCCCTCCTTGCATAGCTGCCTCAAACTCTAATTTCTGGCTCATCCAGCTTAGTGGGCCTGCCGCGCTTTGCTCGGACTCGTGCTCCATACCCTGTGTGTGGGAAATCGTCCTGAGGCAGAGGAGGAGTTGGACTATCGCAGAACTTTATGAGTTTCACTTCTGTAATCCCAGCCTTCTGTTGCCTGTGGTCCACTGCCTGAAAACAGTTGTCTCAGATATCATCTAGATTAGAAGTTAGGCAAATTCAACTATATTTAAATTAGGACCTTTTGCCTATCAAATGATACCTAAAAGAAAATTAAGTACAGTCTATTAACAGGAAGAAGTATTTGCAACACATAGGAACTGACAAAAGATTAAATTGAAATCAGTACGAACAGGACAAAGAAAGTAATAGAAAAATGAGCAAAGGGCATATGCATGAACCGGTACTTCACAGAAGAGGGCAGCTGTGGAAAATAAGCACATGGATCAGCGGAATGCAAACCAAGCGCATAATGGCGTACCGGCTCAGACCCATTCAATCAGCAAAAATTAAGACATCTGACAATATTGAAGTTGAAGAGGACTGGATCAAGAGAGTCTCTAATACAAACTGATGGGACTTGTAATACATTGCAATCATTTTAGGAAGTTGCTACTCTGACATTTACCAGTGCCATTCTTGGGTATTTCCTTAAGAGAAATGCTTGTACTTGTACACCAAGAGACAGTAGCACTGTTCATAATAGCGAAAAAACTACAAAAAACCCCCACAAATGTCCATTGACATGAGAATGGATAAATCGGGGTAGAGTCACATAAAGGAATGAATCAACTAGAGATTTATGCACCAATGCAAATGAATCTCAGTAACATAATAGTGAAAGAAACAAGTCCCGTTGTGCTACATGATGAGACATAGGGTTCGAACTTATAAAGTTCAAACTTAGACTAAAATATTTACAGATGCTTATAGATTTTGGTGAAACTATGTATCGCAATCAAGAGAATGATACAACTCCAGAGGTACCTTTGAATGGGAGAGGCAGAGGCATAGGATAGAGGAGAAGCACACTAAAGGATGTGGACTATTGTTAATGGTCTAGGTTTTGGATTTAGTGGCAGGCCCTTCATAGGCTAATACTGTTGAGTTCTGAGCCAAGCATCGTGATTAATTCCATTTTGTGCACTTCAGGTTCCTTTAAGAAATGGAAAGGACCCTATAGTATATGATTCCATTTATGTGAAATGTCCAGAATAGACAAATTGATAGTGACAGAGAAAGTAGATTAGTGGTTGCCCAGGGCTGCGGGCATGGGAAGATGAAAGAGGAATGATAGCCAAAGGGTACAGGGCTTCTCTTGGGACAATGAAAGTATCCCTAAATGGACTGTGGTGATGGCTGCACAACTCTGTGGATATACTAAAAATTGAATGGTACTTTTTAAATGAGTGCAATGTATGGCATGTGAATTACACTGATAAAACTTACCGAAAAAGAAAAAAAGCCCCACCAGCGTCATGGTGTCAGAAAGGCCTGGGTTCAACAAACCACCTCACCTAGGTGAGCCTCCGTGTTATTCTGGAAAATGGGTGCTCTGAGAAAGGCTGAGCTGCTTCTGTGAATTCTGGTGGATAGTTTTTCTCAGTGAGTGAAAAATAACATTTATTATGAACAAAAAGAAGGAAACTAAAGAACTAAAGAAAAAAATGAAGGCAAAACCAGACCATTCTTTAAGGAGTTAAGTGTGGCCATTTGGATCCAGTTAATTTACAGCACAAGGGCTCTTTCTGCTGGACTGAATTAGAATATTCATACTTTAAATATTTCAAAAGGAAATAAGCAGACCCTTGACGGATGTGGTCTATAAATCATGACATTTTCTGAATCAGTCAATTTTTAAAAGTTAATCTATTTGAGACTGTTCCTCCAGCCAAGATTCATGCTCCCAAAAGAAACAATCATCAAATAAAAGTCCACTCTTTCTCAGCCCCACAAAGAACCTTCTCAATGTCCTTGTAGACATGGATGTAGCCTTCAACTCAGTGAAAAGAGGCAGATCTTGAATTTGCCTTGATCTTGAATTTCTGCTCCATCTGCCCCACAGTGATACCACTGCCAGCGGATTACTTACAACTCTTGTGGTGCCTATACCAAGAATTCACATAATCTTATCAGTATGACTGGATCTTCAGCACACATTTTGGTGGGCTGGCAGTATTTGACACAAATATTTCTAAATGAAGAAGAGCCAGTAAAAGTGCTGTATTTTTTTTTTTTGATACATCATCGTGGAATGAAAAAGATCTGGGCTGTAATATAGAACATCCAAATTTTATTGGCATCTTTCCCATTCACCCAAAGCATGACTCTAAGTATTTCTTGGAACCTCTCTGAGACTTAATTCACTTGTAATTCTCTATATGTTGGTAATATAATACCTACCTTGCTTACCTAATGGAATTGTGAAGATCAAATGGGATGAAGTGTGAGAAAATACTTTGTAAACTATAATGCACAATACAAATGAGAAGAGTTTACATTTTACCTAATCTCACAAACGCCTGTTCATTTACAGACCTTGAGAGAAGGCAGATAATCTGTGAAGGCAGATAGGCCCTGGGAGAAGTGAGTAAACTATATGAGAAGTTACTGAGCTAGAATATTTCTTTGTACAATTTTCTGTTCTATTCCATGACCTGGTTCTTGAATAAACAGCAGACTTTAACCTCTCAACATCATTTTAAAAAGGCATTTGCTGTGTGAAAGTGTGTGTGTGTGTGTGTGTGTGTGTGTGTGTGTGTGTGTGTGTTTGCAACTGCTGTGGATTGGACTGTGTATCCCCAAAAAGATATGCTGAAGTCCTATTGACCAGATCCTCAGAATGTGACCTTATTTGGAGATGGAATCAAGTTAAAATAAGGCTGTTAGGATAGATGCTAATCCAAGACGACTGGCAATCCTTATGAAAGGGAAATTTGGACCCAAACATGCACACAGGAGAATGCCAAATTAACACAAAAACAGAAATTGGGCAACATATCTTTAAGCCAAGGACTAAAATGATGGCTGGCAAACCCTGAGAGCTAAGAGAGAGGCGCAGGCCAGGCCCTTCATGGCCCTGAAAGGAACAGATCCAGCAGACACTTTGATTTCAGATTCCTTGTTAAAGCCACCCAGTCATGGTACTTTGTTATGGCAGCCCTAGCAAACTAATATATTTTTTAAAAATCTATTTGCTTCAAAGGTGGAAGTTAATGTGATTTCAGATGCTCAGTCTGGTTCCAGCTGTATTTCCAGACTTAATCTCCTAAACTCACCTGACAGTCAAAGTTTGTTTCCTGTTCTTCCCCACCTCTGCCTCATCTGAATACCCTGTCCAACCTTCCTTAAGGTTTTCTTAGTCCCCTGCAGCCTGAGGTCATCTCTCCTCCCTTGGAATACCTCGTGACAGTTCGTTCCTTCCTTAATGTTACCTTGGTCATTGTTTAGACTCTCCGGTATTATTTAGACTCTTCCCCTTTCTTCTCAGAGGATAAACTCCTTTGAAAAGTTTATTTTATATATCAGTTCTCTCTGTTAAATATTTCTCTCTGGCATAATATTTTTCACATAATAATACCTTTCAAGTAATTGTACATTAACGATACAATAATAATAATAATAATAATACATATATACATACATACCTGCTGAACTGACCTGGAGGCATCTATTGTAAAATTAATCACTGCATCATTATTATAGAATCACATGTGTTACACAATTATATCTAAAATATTAATAGTCCCATCTGAAATATTACTTTTAATAATCAGAAATTCATGATGCAGCTATATCTGCTGGGACCTGTTGGTTTCTCTTTCTTCTGTTCATTTTATAATCATTCTTTACCCAAAACAGTAAGATTTGATTTGAACTTATACATCCTAGGTAGGAAGATACATATCTTATGTCCAAGTTTTTTTTTTTTTAATGCTGTGCGATAATCCTGTTAACAGAGTTATTTAGAATTATTTTCCGAAAGGCAGGCATTCCTTTGGGGCTCAATCTTTTTCATGGATAAAGGAAAACTGAAACATAAATGCCAAAAAAACTAAAAAAATGCCCTCAGGTCCTGCCTGGAATGGGAGAATGCACTCATTCTTACACATCCCAGGGCCAGATGGTTACCTCCCATTTCTGAGAAGGTCATGGTGCTGTGAATTCACAGGCCGAAGTGAGTCCAGGTGTTACTACTCTTGCCCTAAGGCTTCCAGAGGGATGACCTTATCTGACCTTTGAGCAAACAATCCTGTGGAAACCGTACAGTCACCCTTGAGTGGTTTATGTTTTCAAAAGCAACATTCAACTAGGTATGCTCTTGAAACAGTACCAACAGGAAAGCAGAGATGTGTTGGCAGTTATTCTAACTTCGCCCTCTTCCTGACTTTCCCCTAGTCATACAGATGTTTGTATTTTAAATGTTATTTTGGGCCTTCATAATCCACAGCATGGTGAGTGCAGACTTGGCTAGATCGAGGCTCACTGTCCCCTCTTGTTGACATCCTGGCAAGCGCTGTTTGTAGTGATGAATGGGAGAGCCAGTGAGCCCTCCATAGATGCTCATTTGGACCAAGAAGAATCTGTGATTTCAGTTGTATTTCAAATGGCAGTTTTTGCCAGTAAGGAAGTGTGAGGGTGGAGTGGAACCATGGAAAGTACCAGAAGGAAAGTGAACCAGGTACCAAACGTCCCCTGTGGGCCTATGCCCTGTTCCTGCCTCCGTCTGGGCTTGGGGCTGTGCAAAGTTGGAAATATTCACCCACTCAATAGAGAAATATTAATGAAAGGTCTGTCAACACATATCTTTCCAGGTCACGGGGCCCACGCAGCTCACCCTGCCTCCCCCCAGCCCTCTGCATCTCCCCAGGAGACCCAAGTTCCGTGGGGCCAGGGCCATTCAGCACTGAAGGAACGTTTGACTCTTGCCTTCCTCAGTCTCATGTCTGGGACTTCCGAACATGTGGTTTCGCTGTGAGACTCTGGGCCGCTCAGTTTGGGAAGAGACCATAAACAAAGTGTGAATTTCCCCTTCCTTCCACTGCAGGAATTGTTTGCAGTTTTCACAGCATGTCTGCCATTGACCCAGTTGCACCTCTTTGCTAAGCAGCCAGGCACCCCAATAAATAACTCAGCGGTAGGGTCAGGATTTGTGCCAGCTAAATGTTTGGATGAGACTGGAGGGCACAGGGACACCTCTGGCTTTTCACCTGAAACATTTAGCCACCCAGTGCATAGAGGGACACTGCTTGGAGGACACCTCAGTGAACTTGGTGAGCAGGAAGGAAGGAAAAAACCCGGAGGGTGGAGAGAGGGAGGGGACGGGCAGAGCGGGAAGCCACCTCAGCCAGCACAGCAGCCTGAATGTTCCCAGGCCAGAATGCTGAGAACAGCCATTCCCAAGGGTGGTCGGGGTCGGCGGGTCCCTGGCCTCCCTGCTTCTTCTGGTGTTTTCTGCCTCCATCTCACATTTTTGTTGGGCTGGGTGGGCTTGCTGCAGGGACACCCCCAGTGCCTGGATTATGGGCCCCCTTTCCGGCCCCCGCTGCACCTCGAGTTTTGCTCTGACTACGAGTCCTTCGGCTGCTGTGACCAGCGGAAGGACCGCCGCATCGCTGCCCGGTACTGGGACATCACGAACTACTTTGACCTGAAGGGGCACGAGCTGTGCGGAGGTTACGTTAAAGACATCCTTTGCCAGGTAGGCCTGAGCTAGCCCCGCAGGGAAGGGAGGAAGCCAGCTCAGAGAAGTGCCATCGGCCCCAGCAGACCAGGGTGCAGGGCTGGATTGGGGGTGAGGGGCAGGCTCTTTGGCTGCCCGGCCCTTTAGAAGCAGCTCACCTGCAGGCTGCCTCACCTGAGAGCTCTGGGCTCTGGACAGGTACACGGAGGCGAGTTGGTGTTCCCTGCTGTTCCGAAGTTCTCTCTCTGCGGCTGGGCCGACCCTGGTGCTTTCTCGGGCCCCAGGAGAGGGAGAGGGTTTTCTTCCTGGTGCTCTCCGAGCAGCCGCTGTCGGGCTCCTCCTGCAGTGCTCCAAGAGCTGGGCACAGTACGCACGTGTGGTGGTAATGGGTGCGTGGAGGAGGGAGCAGTGGCATCTGCTGGGGTCCAGTCCTTCTCTGGGTCGTCAGTGGCAGGCGGTCCCTGGTGCGGTGGCTGTGGCAGCGGGCCTGGGAGCTGTCCCCAGCATTCCGGAGCTGGACTGAGTGGGCTCAGAGCCGCTGAGTGCAATGACTCAGAGCAGCCAAAATCCACATCCCTGGCAGGCATCCCCCATGCCGGGCGCAGGCTGCACACACCGACTGTGGGAAGAGGTGTCCAGGGGTGCACGGGAGAGTCAGCATTGAAGAGCTGATGGAAGAGGTTGCCAGGAGGAGGGGTGTCTGATGATGACAGACAGGAAGTCCAGGGTCTTGGATCTGAGACCCTCCTGGGCATGTCAGCGCAGATACTTGATTCTCCCACTGCCACCATTCCGAAGCACGCTGGCCATCCCAGCTCCCCATGCAGGGAGCACAGCAAAGCCTGGCACATAAGCCAGCCACCTGGGTGGTATCGGCCCTGCTGTGCTCTCTCACCTCGGGCACCCTCCTTGCCCGCAACCCCTCCCCTGGCTGTTTCCAGGAGAAGAAACTCTAGGATAACCTGGGCAGAAGCTGGGCTCTTAGGAGCAACACTGCTACTTCATTTCTGAGCTCTCTGCTGTTAGAACTGTCTCCTCTCTCCCTCTCTCCGCCCTCCCCCTAATGGTTGAGGTTTCAGAAAGCCAAATTCAACAGCTCTTCTGTTTTAGGGATTTCAAGAATCAGAATAACCTATGTGTGCCTATTTATTATCATTTACACGACCCTGCTTCTTTCTTCTCCCACACATGTAGTGTGTTCCCAGCAATGATTCTGCAAGCAGTTATTATGACCCTCAATTTAGTGAAGACGAATCAGGAGTTTTTTAACGGACTTGTCCAAGGTCAAACAGTTCCCAGGGCACAAATCTAGAAGCTCAGGCTTCCAGTCTTCTGGCCCTTTGATCACACTGTGCCAAAATAGAGTCTCAATAGCACCGGCCCATTCACTCGATGGTTTTGGAGCTGGGGAAGTGGATGCTCCGTTAGAACTGAGCTTTTGTGCATTTTGCTCACTGCTGTGTCCCCAGTGCAGAGAACAGTGCCTGGAGTCTACTGGAGTCTCTTCCTGGGCCTTAGTTTTCTTTGGGAAATGATAGTTACTGAGCTGATTAAGTGGAAGCAACATGCAAGCTCAAAATTTTTGCATAAGAGTGTGCCATGTTGGTCATTTGTTTCCACACCCACTCTGTTCCACTATTTCATCCTTCTATTTGCCTCACTTCTTCTCTCTTCTCACTTCCCAAGAGCGGGCAGCCCTGCAAGGCAAGACTCAGAGCGGTTCCTTTTGCTTCTTGTCAGCAGCTCTGACAAGTTTCCTGAACTGAAATGGACATTCCCCGGGAGACACGGAATCTCTGAGCTCTTTCTTCCCCTTGCTGCAACAACCAAGAGCTTGCTCTGCAATCTGCAATCAGGGTTGAAATAAGAGAGAATCGTGAGCTCAGATACACCTGAGAAATGCAGCTCATCCCTTTGTTAGGCATGAGACAGAGGTGAGGTAGACAGTGTCGTTCTGGCAGCTGCGGGGGGACATGTCAGGGATCTGGAGGGGAACTTGGACCAGATGACTCTGCTCTACTCCACGGCCCCAAACTGCATTCTGTGAGTCAGCCTTTCTTAGTTTCCTAATCTCGGTTGCTTCTTCTCTTTCCTTATTATTGGGAGTTGTTGTCTGCCCACAATATTTTATTTTCCTCTGAAAAACAAAATGCTATAGTTTGAGGAGGCCAGAGAGGCAGATACTCAGCACACAGTCCTTGTATGTCTGTGTCGAGAGCAGGGGTATGGTCCTATAGCCACAGTTCAGATTTGTGTAGTTCCTGGCACGGTACCTTGTATATATTAAATGCTTAAGTATTTTTGAGAAATAAGTGAAGGAACTGCTAGATGCCTAATTTGTGGGAGTGATACATCACGTGTCCATTTTGATAATTTTATTTTATTATAAACTACTTCACACATATGGAAAAGCACAGAGAAGTAAATAATTAACACCATGTTTGCAACATCCAGATTTAAGAAACCTGAAATTTTGCCACATAGCTTCATATTTGGATAAAGAAATAAAAGTGTACAGATACAGCATTCATCATAAAGGGAATGATGGAGAAATTTGGTACTAGTCTCTATTAAAAAAATTCACTGCATAATCATCAAAAAGCCTCCACAGGGATCCGGACGATGCTGCTGTTGTGGCTGCATCCAGCCCACCATCTCCTGGACTTGCCATAGGAATGAGGAGGGAGATGTCTAGGCTGGCATGTGCATACAGTGAGACAACGAATTTGACCGGATCTGTACTGTTGGAACTCAACCAGGAGTTGGGAGGGGTGCAAGTTGTAGCACTCCAAAATCTCATGACTATAGACTATCTATGGTTAAAAGAACATATGGGATGTGAACAGATCCCAGAAATGGGCTGCTTTAATTTGTCTGATGGTTCAAGTACAGTTGGACAATATCCATCATATCATAGATAAATTTTCACAAATGCCTAGGGTGCCTAAATGGTTTTCTTGGCTTCACTGGAGATGGATGGTAATTATAGATTTGCTTTGTTTATGTCACCGTATTCCTATTATGTTAATATGTGTGTGCAAATTAGTTAGTAGTTTAAAACCTATACATACTTAAGGTACTATACAAGAAGATATGTCAAAGAAATAATCAATCCTCCCATGTTTCCTTCATATGCTACATCTATAGCTTTTCTTCTTCCTTCCTAATTACAAACCTTAAATAGAATTCGTGCCTCATATCGAATTTACCGAGTATCATAATTCCTCCAGGTGGTAAAGATACCTCGAGACAAGTGCTGGGCATAGAAGCCACAGGGCATAAATCTGCAAAGAAGTAAAAAGCTAACCTTTGCAAACAATATGGCTTCTCTCTCACTTACCAACTTTACATTTCCCTGTATGGCCCCGGAAGATGACTGGTTAGCCAGAGACGGGTAAGATTCCTCAAGGGAGGAACAACCTAAGACAGGCACAGTCGCAGGGGGGCCATCAGGTGAGAATTTGGGGATCAACAGAGGTGAGGCTCAGAACCTCACCCCCCCTGCTTTGAGAGAAATCTTCTGCATCCGTGGATGTCTTGCTGCCCTTGTCTAGCCTGGATTAATACTTAGTCCATAGGCACACACCTGATCATCTGATCATCTACATTTGCCTTCTTACAGCACTAAACTATGTTTTCTACCTTTATCTTGCATCTACCTACCACTTCAGCATTTTATTAAAAATAAAAATAATAATAATAATAGGAGAAATGTGGGATCAACATATAAATCAAGTACAAAAATCAAATGAATATTCATATTTGACCTGATGGTTTATAGGTCATATTGCATGATCAAAACCGAAAGTTTCTGTGATGAATGCCCTTGTACTGTTCACCATGTAAGAATTTATTCACTCTGTAAGAATTCGTTCACCATGTAAGAACTTGTTCGTGATGCTTCAGAAGATTGGAGACTGACGAGAATTAGGCTTGAGATGGATTAATGATTGTACATTGAGCGTTGACCCCCCTATACTGAATTTTATTGTTGTTAACAACCATTTGATCAATAAATATAAGAGATGCCCTCTCAAAAAAAAAAAAATTCACTGCATAATATAACTGTGTCAAGAACAAAGTTAAAATATTAGAGATAGTAGAGTGAACACGAGATGTATGTATTTTTTTCCCCTTTCTACTTTCCAGGAGCACAGACTGGGTAGAACATTTGGGTCCCAGTGAAGAGCTCTACCAGTAGTTGGTGATAGAAACTCCGGAATCCTGATTCTATCCTAGATCGTTTTCCCTTTTGCTGGCTCAAAAAGTGGGACCAGCCCCATTGCGGACAGTCTGACTGCCGATTGAGTTTCCATTTCTTTTCTAGGAGTGCTCGCCCTATGCAGCCCACCTCTACGAGGCTGAGAACCCGCAGACACCCCTCCGGAACCTTCCCGGCCTCTGCTCTGACTACTGCTCAGAATTCCATTCCAACTGCCACTCTGCCATCTCCCTGCTGACCAATGACCGTCGCCTCCAGGAGTCCCACAGAAAGGATGGCGCACACTTTTGCCACCTCCTCAACCTCCCCGACAAGGACTACTGCTTCCCTAATGTCCTGAGGAGTGACCATCTCAACCGCAACCTGGGTGTGGTAGTGGACCGTCAGGGCTGCCTGCAGCTCTGCCTGACGGAGGTGGCCAACGGGCTAAGGAACCCTGTCTGCATGGTCCATGCTGGGGACGGCACCCATCGCCTCTTTGTGGCCGAGCAGGTGGGGGTGGTGTGGGTCTATCTGCCTGACGGGAGTCGCCTGGAACAACCCTTCCTGGATCTCAAGAGCACTGTGTTGACCACCCCATGGATTGGGGATGAGCGAGGCTTCTTGGGGTTGGCTTTTCACCCCAAATTCCGCCGCAACCGCAAGTTCTATATCTATTATTCGTGCCTGGGCAAGGAGAAGGTGGAGAAGATCCGGATTAGTGAGATGAGGGTTTCTCGAGCTGACCCCAACAAAGCTGACCCCAAATCAGAGAGGTGAGACAGACGCCTGGGAACCTGCCGCTCTGCACTCGGCTCCAAGATCATGCCAGTCTGTGCTCTGAGATGATACCCGGGAACTTCTAGAGCCACTAGCTTCTAAAGTTGATGAAGGAGTTGTTGTAGATGAATGACAACAGCCAAGTCAGACTCTAGTCAAGGGTCTTCATGTGGCACATTCATCACCTTACAGTTATCTCATTAGAGACGTGTTGCTTGTTTTTACAGAAGGTCAGCAAAGGCCAGCAGCCAGACATAAGAGTTTGAGAAATGATCATGGATAATATCAGTATGTTTAATATGCTAGCAGCCTTTGAAATTAAACTAACCCTTGCTATTTTGCTCGAAGGAAGGGATAAAGAGTTCTGGTAGAGCAGAGGAAGGGCAAGCCCCAGAAAAGGGTAGCTGTTACCCTGGCTTTGTCTACAGCTCAAAAAGTTAGGATATGAAAGAAAAAGGACCCGTGAAGGAGTCATACTAGGAAACAAAGGATGTCTCAGGGCCCCAAAGCTACCTGCTTGGGGATCCTTGGAAACTGTCGAGCAGATCTTGGCTGGCTTGGACCAGTCGTTTCTGGATGTCTTGAGAGGATACGGTTTTAGTTTGTATCAAAACCAAACACATTGTTTCTTTTTATCCTTCCAGAGTCATCTTGGAGATAGAAGAACCAGCGTCAAATCATAATGGCGGACAACTTCTTTTTGGCCTGGATGGCTACATGTATATATTCACTGGGGATGGAGGGCAGGCTGGAGATCCATATGGCAAGTTTGGAAATGCTCAGAACAAGTAAGCTGGATGCATCTGGGCCCTGGTCCCCTTTGGGTGAGCCGCTGGTGCAACATTTTTGCTAAGATGGAGTCTGCAGAAGGTCAAACCCAAATCACTCACTGCAAGATGTAGCTCCCTTTGTTGAGGCAAGTGGGAGGAACATTTAGTTTTCTGTCCTAGAAATTTCAGGCGTACTGTATTTTGGTCATTAGTGTTATGGATGCTCAATGTAACTCGCAGAATTCAGTGTAGAGACAAATTCAATGTTTAATATACTATAGCAGGACATTCACCACACCAAGCTTTGATCATCCAATTCAACTCAACAACATTAATTGAGCACTGTGTTCCAGGCACTGTGCTAGGCCCTGGGGAGAAATTAGTTAATAAGAGTTAATATGTACAGGTTTCCCCTGCTCTCTGAAAGCAGAGCGTTCATATGAAACCTTTTGGAAACTGAAATGGCATAAAGTGAAGAAGCAATTACCATTAATTTATATGGAGCATCATGTAAGCGTTCCTGGACCCAAAACCTCTCTTAGGTTTCTCTGATGCCTTAGGGCACATTTTGCTAACAGATGCACAAAATAATTGATAGAGCACAGATGCTCACAGACGTCGTTGAAGCTATGATGCCAAGATGCTGAGTGCGGTCCCGGGGAAGGAACTTGGCGAGCCCACTCTCTCTACTCAGGGTGCAGGTTGCCTCTATAATGACTCACTACAAAACAAATGCTAAATGCTTCTTTCACTTTTTGTCTTTTGTCTTGAAAGCAAAAATCCTCTCTGAGTTTCTTTCAGTCAGCAAAAGCAGACACTCGTGTATGTCTTTTGTAAAAGCAAAATGGTGTAATGTGAACTCTCAGAAAGCAGGGAATGCCTGTATGGGTGCTTATTGTGTGTCAGAGGGTCTTTTAAATTTCTTCTGTGTATTTGAGAACATAATTCTAACAACCCACTGGGCAGCGATTTTTATCTGTTTTGTTAACTGATGTTTCCCCAGCACGTAGGGGGGTGCCCAGCACAGGGAATCACTCCATGAGTACTTACAGAATGAATGGGTCTTGGGAAGTGTGGGTGTTATGAGAGCCACTTTACAGACAAGAAAACAGAGGCAGAGAGGAATAAAGTAGCTGGTCCAAAGTCATCCAGCAAATAAGTGGCAGAACCAGAACTCAAACTCAGACAATCTGGCGCGATGGCTCAATGAAGCTGCGCTACCTCCATGAGGTCACATGATGCCTTTGCACCCAGCAAGCACTTGACTCTCATTTTCCTTGGAAGAAAAAACTAAAGTTGATAATAATAAAGAGCTAACATACGTCAAATGCCTACTGTATATCAGGAATTGCATGACATGCTATCTCCACAATAATTCATTTAACACTACATTACAGCCTCGCCACGAGGTAGTTTCACTCCCCCCTGCTTTACAAATGAGGAAACTGAGGCTCAGAGGCCACGATCATTGGCAGAGCCTCTCAAAAGCCTCTGTTCTTTCAACTGAATACATTGTTGTCTGAGAAAGAATAGAACCAGCTCCTTTTAAAAGTTCACAGTATTAGATCAAACCTGAGAGAAACCGTAGATGAGGATCTCACGGGCCAGCACCACATCAAATTTTTGCCTAGTAGAGGCATGACTTTATACATATATATAGCTTATATATATCTATCATCTATCTATCTATCATCATCTATGTGTGAGTATATATTTGTGTGTGTATGTATATATATGTATGTGTGTACATAACACACACAAAGTCATGTCTCCCCATGTGATTCCTAGAAGTTACTTGGCATTGATATCAGTAGGCACTCCTGGGCAGTCTCCTCTGGTTCGGTACCATTTTATTGTATTTTATATTTTATTGTTTTATTTTATTGATTTTTTTATTTTGAATACTTAGCACATTTCAGCTGAACACATAATATCTACCTTCTTAAAAATTTTTAAATGTAGATACAATATTGTCAATTATAGGGGCAATGTTCAGCTTATCTATGGAGCTTACTCATCTTGCATTTAAATATCCAATAGGTGTATGAAAAGATGCCTAATGTCACTTATCATCAGGGGAATACAAAGCAAAAGCACATTGAGATGTCACCTGGCACCTGTTAGGATGGCTATTATCTCCAAGACCAAAGACAGCAAGTGTTGGCAAGGACATGGAGAAATGTGAACCTTTATATATTGTTGGTGGGAATGCAAAATAGTGAAGGAAAACAGTGTGGAGAGTCTTCAAAAAATTAATAACAGAACAAGCAAATGATCCTGCAGTCCCGTTTCTGGGGGTTCATCCTGTGCCTATTTCTTGGCTTGCTTTCTTTCAGGAGTTCTCTGCTGGGAAAAGTGTTAAGGATCGATGTGAATGGGGCAAGGTCAGACGGCAAACGGTACCGCGTTCCCCATGACAATCCGTTTGTTTCTGAGCCAGGGGCCCACCCTGCTATCTACGCCTACGGGATCAGAAACATGTGGCGCTGTGCTGTGGACCGAGGGGACCCCGTCACTCACCAGGGCCGAGGCCGGATGTTTTGTGGCGATGTGGGACAGAACAGGTTTGAAGAAGTCGACATCATTGTTAAAGGCGGGAACTACGGCTGGAGGGCGAAGGAGGGGTTTGAATGTTACGACAAAAAACTTTGTCACAATACCTCTTTGGGTAAGTTAGACCCTGCCTGTGTGATCTCTTGAATGAGTTGAGGGTTGGAGGTGGAGGTGGGGGAATGAACGCCTGAGAGGGTCCTGCACTGCAGATGGTTTAGGTGGCCTTGTTTATGTCCTGTGGGACAGCGCTTCCCAGCGTGGTCCTCCAGCCCCTTGTCCCAGAAGCACCTTGGGCAGTGGTTATTAACTTAATGCATTTGAATTTTGGGTGGATTGGGAGGAGTAGATTAACCTAGGAATCTATATTTTAGATAAATTACCCATATGATGTTTCGGCATACTATTTTGAAAGCCACTGGCAGAGGAAAATTGGTGGCTGAATGTTTTTATTTGTTTTCTCATTGGGACAGCCCACTGAAATGAAACATCAATAATCAAGGTGCTTTAGATGTACTTTATCATCTTTGCTTAGTCTTTTTTATCCTTTAGGTTACAAAGCAGTCTTACAGACCTTCACAATATTTCCCAAATCTTTAAACCTCAGTAAATATCCACCAGGTCAACCTAGGAGAAGAACTTAGGCCTGTGGATTTCCAGTCACTGCCTCACAGGTGGGGGAATTTTTTGGCTTCCTCTCTGCTTGCAGAGGCCAGTCAAATGGGAGGCTCACAAATATTGTGGCTGGTCTATGGAGAAAAATTAAACACGATTCTCTTGGCTGTCTGTCCAACTAAAGACCAAGAGATAAAGTGCTGTCCACTTAATCAGGCAACTACATTAAAAAGCCATCTTCTTACATAAAGCTCCTAATTTGTAGCTATGACATTCACTATTTTTGTTCCTGGACAGATGACATTCTGCCAATCTATGCTTATGGCCACGCAGTGGGGAAGTCAGTCACTGGAGGATATGTCTACCGTGGGTGTGAATCCCCAAACCTCAATGGCCTCTACATCTTTGGAGACTTCATGAGTGGGTAAGGAAGGGTGGATGTCCCCTCTTTTTTATTTTAACATTTTTATTGAGTTATAAATTACATATGGTGAAATGCAGTCTCTAAAAGCACAGTTGGATACAGTTTTACAAATGTATACACTTGTATTGCCACCAACTAAATCAAGACGTATAACATTTCCACCATTCTAAAAAGTTCCTTCTTGCATATTGCCTGTCAATACCACCCCTTTCTTACACACGCATGCACACACACACACACACACACACACACACACACACACCAGCTAGAGATAACCACTCTCATCACACATTAGTTTTGCTTCTGGACTTCATGTAAATGGAATTATAAAGTATGTATTCGTTTTTTCGTATATGGTTTCTTTCCTTCAATAACATATATGAAATCCATCTGTGTGGCAGCATGTCTCAGTAGGTTGTCTCTCTCATTGCTTTGTAATATTCAGTTGCACAGATATACCACAATCTATTCACCTATTTTCCTGTTGATGGCTGCTTTGGCTGTTTCCAGTTTTTCATGTATTTATTTTATATGTATTATATACTTGTAGCTTTTCTTTCTTGTAATATCGGTCAGATTTTGGCATCAGGATAATGCAGGTTAACAGTATGAACTGGAGAGTATTCCCTCTTCTTCAGTTATCTGGTTATCTGGAAGAATTTGTGTAAAATAGGTGTTACTTCATTGGTATGTGCTTCATTCTTCCAAACGAAGCTATCTATGTGTAAAGTTTTCTTGCAGACCACGTGTATTTGGATCTTGTGTTTTGATCCACTCTGACAATCTCTGTCTCTTAGCTGGTGCATTTAGATCTTTGATGTGCAAAGTGATTATTGATACAGTTGAATTAATATCTACCATATCCATTATTGTTTTCTATTTGTTGCTCTTTTTGTTGTTGTTGTTGTTTGTTCCTCCTTTTGTCTTCCAGTCTTTTTCCACCTTTTGTGGATGTAATTGAGCATTTCATGATTCCATTTTCTCTTCCTTCTTAGTGTATCAGTTTTACTACTTTTTAAAACTTTTTTAGTGGTTGCCCTAGAATTCACAATATACATTTACAGCTTAATCCAAGTTCAGTTTCAAATAACATTATATCATAACATGGGTAGTGTGAGTATCTTATAGTAACAAAATAAACCTACTTCATTCTAACTGTCACTTGTATAATTATTTTCATTCATTTTCCTTATACATAGGCATACATAATTTTTATATAGTATATAATACTATTTGTAATTAATTTAGAATGATTATATATTATCTATACAATTTAATAATATTATTAATATAATAACAATAGCAAAAATGTATTTTATTATGTATCTTTAGATATCTAATATATATTTCCACACAAATACATTGTTTCTATTATTATTTTAAACAAATGGTTACATGGTAGGTCAATTAAGAATAAGACAAATGTTTTTTATTTTACTTTCATTTAATCCTTCTTTGATGCTCTTTTTTTTTATACATAGATTTGAGTTTCTGACCTATATCATTTTCCTTCTCTCTAAAGATCTTTTAACATTTCTTGCAAGGCAGATCTGGCAACAAATTCCCTCAGTTTTTGTTTGTCTCAAAGTCTTTATTTCTCTCTCACTTTTGAAATATTATTTCACCAGGCACAGGATTCTAGGTTCGTAGTTTTTTTCCTCAACACTTTATATATTTCACTACACATTCTTGCTTACATGGTTTCTGAGAAGTCAGATGCAATCCTTAACTTTATTCCTCTATAAGATTTTTACCCCTTTCTTTCAAGATCTCTTTTTCCTTTGATTTTCTGTAGTTTGAATATTATATACCTATTGTACTTTCAAAGCATTGTTCTTACTTGGTGTTTTCTGAGCCTGCTGGATCTGTGGTTTGATATCTGACATTAACTTGGGGAAATTCTCAGTAATTATTGTTCATAATGTTTCTTGTTCATTTTCTGTTTCTTCTCCTTTTGACATTCCCATTATGCTTGTGCTAAACAGTTTGTAATTGTCCCACAGTTCTTGGATAGTCTGTTGTGTGTTTTTTTCCAGTCTTTTTTCTCTTTGCTTTTCAGTTTGAAGGTTTCTATTGAGATATCTTTAAGCTCAGAGATTCTTTTCTCAGTCCTGTCTAGTCTGCTAATAAGCCCATCAAAAGCATTCTTCATTTCTATGACAGTGTTTTTGATCTCTCGCATTTATTTTTGGTTCTTTCTTAGAATTTCCTTATCTCTGTTTACATTGCCCATCTTTTCTTGCATGCTGTCTATTTTATCCATTAGAGCCCTTAGCAGATTAATCATAGTTGTTTTAAACTGCTAGTCTGATAATTCTAACATCCATACCATGTCTGAGTTTGGTTGCAATGCTTCCTTTGTCTTTAAAACTGTGTCTTTCGCCTTTCAGTATGCCTTGTAACTTATTCTTGGGCCGGGTAAACGGAACTGCTGTAAATAGATCTTTAGCAATGGGGTGGTGAAGTGTAGGGGGACGCGAAGTGTTCTAAAATTCTATGATTGGGTTTCAGTCTTTTAATGAGCCTATGCCTCTGGACTGTCAGCCTCGGAAGTCGCTCCTCAGTTGTTCTCCCCACTGCCACACACTTAGGTGGGACAGGATGCCTAGAATGGGCTGAAGCTGGGTAGTATTTCTCTCTTCCCATGTGGAAGGCTTAGCTGGCTGCAGTTGGGTACTTGCCTTCCCCTTGGTCTGTTAGACTCTGATAAAATCCCAACAGGTTAGGCTGTGGCTAAATAGGTTCTCCTGAGGGCAGACGTTAGGAAGAACAGAAAGTTCTGGCATATTTTTAAATGGTTCCTTTCCCTTCTCCTTGCTAGAAGCAAAAGGAGATCTTTCTCTGATATTTACTGTAGGAACCTGGTCCAAACCCTGGAGGTAAAAGTCACAAAAGTGCGGAGCTCTGACCAGGTCCTCCCAGAGTTTTAACTCAGATGTGTCCACACTGAGCTTTCAGCAATTTGTCAGTTTGGGTTGTTCTACCCCAGCACTGGTTCCCATGAAGGTCTCTGCTCTTGGATGTCTGTAAGTTGTGATTCTCTGTATCTGCTTGTCTGTCTCTCCAATTTTGGGGGCAGTGGTTTGCTCTGCAGCTTGACTACTCTAATGGATCTAAGAAGAGTTGTTTTTTCAGTTTGTTCAGCTTTTTACTTATTATTAGAATGGAGTTTACTTATTATTAGAACTTCCAAGCTTATTACATGCTGGACCAGAAAGAAACTGGAAGTCCTCTGAAGTGTTCTGTATGGAGACTTTTAGCTAGAAATTCAGTATTTTTTAGTAGATACAGGCTATTCAGCATATTTCTTTCTTTTCAGGGAGCTTTGGTAGTCTATGCCTTTCAAGAAATTTATACTATTCACCTAAGTTGTCAAATTCACTGGCATCAAGTTGTTCATAATATTCACTTACTAACCTTTTAATAGCTGTGGGAACTATCGTGATGTCACTTATCTTATTCCAGATATTGGTAATTTGTGTCTTCCCTCTTTTTGCCTGATCAGTTTGGCTATTGATTTTATTGATCTCAAAAACCAGCTTTTGGGTTCACTGCCTTTTTTTCTATTATTTTTCTGTTTTCTATTTCATGGATTTATACTCTTTTTCCTTCCTTCTGCTCGCTTTGGATTTCATTTGCTCTTCTATTTCTAGTTTCTCAGGAGGGTATTGATTTGAGATCTGTCGTATTTCCTAGTATATATGTTTAGCTATATATTTCCCCTCAAGGACTGCTTTAACAGCATCCCATAAATTTTGATATATTGAGTTTTCATTTTCATTCAGTTAAAAATACTTCCTAATTTCCCTTTTGATTTCTTTATCTCCTGAGTTATTTTAAAGTGTGTTAGTTTCCAAATATCTGAATATTTCTGGAGATTTTTCTCCTATTGATTTATAATTCAGTTGATTGAGGTCACAAGCAAACTGTGTATGATCTGGGAGATTATCCTGGATTATGTAGGTGGTCCTAAATATAACCACAAATATCTTTATAAGAAGGAGGTAGAAGGAAATTTGGAGACAGAAGAGGTAGAAGTCAGTGTGACAATGGAGGCAGTGAAAGAAAAGCCAGTGTGATGTGGACCAGGAACCGAGAAATGAGGGTAGCCTCTAGAAGCTGGAAAAGGCAAGAAAACATTACTTCTAGAGCCTCTGAAGGGAGCACAGCTCTGACAACACCTTGATGTTTGGCTCATTTCAGAATTTTGGCTTCCAAAACGGTAAAAGCATTAAATGTGTATTGTTTTAAGCTATGACGTCATGGTAACGTGTTACAGAGGCAGTAAGACACAAACATAGTTACTATTCTTCATTCCTTTGTGCAGATGCATGTTTCTTTTTGATATCAGTTTTCTTCTGCCTGAAGAACTTCCTTTAACATTTTTTTGAAAAATGGGTCTTCTGATGATGAATTATTTCTGTTTTTTGTGGTCTTTGTTTTCCTTCCATTTTTGAAAGATATTTTTGCTGGATATAGAAGTCTATGTTGACATGTTCTTTGATTCTTAAAAATGTTGTCCACTGTCTTTAGCTTTGCCTCATTTTCAGTGAAAAATCACTGTCATCCTTATTTTTGTTTCTCCATATTTAATGTGTCATATTTTCTCTGGCTGCTTTTAAGATATTCTGTCATTGACATTGTGCAGTTTCATTATGATATGTATTGGTGTAGTTTTCTTCATATTTCTCATGCTTCAATTTGCTTGTATTTATTGGATCTCTGAGTTTATGGTTTACATCAAACCTGGAACATTCTTGGCTATAGTTTCTCAAAAAACTTTTTTCTGTTTCCTCATCCCCTTTTCTATTCTCATTTGGATACTCTAATTATATGTATATTGGGCTGCTTAAAGTTTTCCCACAGCTCACTGATGAACTGTTCATAATTATATTTTATTCCTCTGTGTTTAACTTTGGTTAGTTTCTATTGCTATATCTTCAGTTCATGAACCTTTCCTGAAATATCTAATCTGCCATCGTCCCATCCATTTTTTTTTAATCTCATTGTACTTTTCACTTCTAGAAACTTGATTTGGGGAGATGTATGTATATATATCTTCCATGCCTTTACTTAACTTTTTGAACATATGAAATATAATAATCATCACTGTTTTAATGTTCTTGTCTGCTGATTTTAATATCTATGTCAATTCTGTGTCAGTTTTGATTAATTGATTTTCCTCTTTATTATGGGTCATATTTTCCTTCTTCATTACATACCACACAATTTTTTTATTGGATGCCACACATTGTAAACTTAACTTTGTGGGTGTTGCATATGTTTGTATTCCTATAAATATTCTTGAGATTTTTTTCTGGGACACATTAAGCTACTTGGAAATAGTTTGATCTTTTTAAGTCTTTCTGTTAATATTTGTTATGTAGGACCAATATGCTGCTTATTCTTGAGCTATTTATTCTTCAAAATTGAGGAAAGATTTTCCTGAGTACTCTACCCAGTGCCCTATTAATTATACTTTCCCTATTTTTGACCCTGATTAGGTGCCAGGTACTTTTATTTCTAATTCTTTCCCTTGACTTAGGTAGTTTCTTCACACGTATCTGCTGTTAAGTATACTGGTGGATACTTTAGGGGAACACTTTGCAGACTCCTGGGGTCCATTCCCTGTGCATCTCTCTCCTCTCCAATGTCTGCACTACTGACTTCCCGCATAGGTCTTCCTGAACTCTCATCTCTGTCTTTTCAACTCAGGGAATCTGCTAGGCTCTACCTTTGTTTTGCCACCCTGCTCTGGATTCTTGACTCAAGGTAGTTGGGACAATTGTAGGGAACAAACTTACCTTGTTTCCCATATCTTAGGGAACACAGTCCTTCATTATCAGATCTCAGAGTCTTTTAAAACCATTGTCATTCTATTTTGTCTAGGTTTCTGGCTATTTAAGATGTGAGGCTAAGTATGGTCCATGTTACCCTTAGTTAGAAAGGATATTAATATTTTCATACTACAATTCCTCGGTTACAGAGATGGGGTAGAGTTAGTAATTGGTCAGTTATTTTATCATCACTTACCAGGTCATTGGGATTTAATTGTTCTTTATGGGTTTTTTTCCCCACTTGCCCATAACTCTGCCCCCATTTAACACTTGGTTAGTATGTCATGATTCTTAATTGAAGCACATGCACTAGAATTACCTGGAGTTGAGCATCTGTAGTTCCATAAAACTTTTCACATGAGACTGTGGTCCACCCCACTTCTTTTTTTCCCCTTCTTTTCTAAAAATGGAAGTATTTTAGTTTAGATAGATGACAAAGGGATATGAAGCATCTACATGCTACTATATAGACAAAGTAATAGCAATAATAACTACTAGTTTTTGAGCTTGTACTATGTGCTAGTCACATTGGTGAGATATTTGTGTATATTACCTGATTTAACTTCTGTTCACACAGTTTACCTATGGTAAATTCTATTACCGTTGCCCATTTTAAAGATGAAAAAACTGAGGCTTAAGAATATTGAGCAACAAGCCACACAATAGATATAAATTGGTTAGTCTTTTGTAGTAGCATAATCATCATGGGGCACCCAATACTTCCTGCAAAAGAAAGTGAACTTCCCCATCTAAGGCAAATGGTGACTGAAGTTTCTCTGAAGCAGTTTTTTGATTCTTGGGAGAGGATAGTTATTACCATCCTATGGGAGACCCAGTCCTAGTACTCAAAGATTCCCTGATTTTAGGAGAGAAAATATACTGCAGGGTAGAAATATGGATTCGTAAAATATAAGGTTTTATTTTTCATCTAGTCGACTTATGGCTTTGCAGGAAGATAGAAAAACCAAGAAATGGAAGAAACAGGACATTTGCTTGGGCAGCACGGAGTCCTGTGCCTTCCCAGGGCTGAGCAGCACTTACAGCAAGTTTATCATCTCTTTTGCTGAAGATGAAGCAGGTAATAAATGCACAGGGCTATTCTATTGCTGCTTACTGGAATTTAAATAGTCACAGGTGTAGTAAACCAAACATTTATTATTATTATTATTACTGTTGTTATTGTAATTTAAATAGCAACTGCCATTTCTCTTATTTTCACTATCATTTAGTCACCTTTTATCATGTACTGGATACTGTTCTAGGCACTTTACATTTTTAATCTAATTTAGAAATCAGAACATCCCCATCATGTAGTTATTATGCTCATTTCCCCAATGAGGAAACAGATTCAATATGCCAACCTGCCCTTTCTTGGCTGCGGCCCATTCCTCACTGTATGGGGCAAATCAAGGTCTACACACTGGTCTTTTCAATCCTTTGAGTACAAAAGAGGTTCATATGCTTCTCCTCCCTGACATTATTCTAATTTGCAATTATAGGAAGGTGGATAGGGCCAAGAGCAGGGCAGACCAAAGGAACAGCGGCTGTTATATACCGTTGGTGTCCCCTGGGAGGGAGGACGACTGATGATTAGCTCACTGGCTGGGCTGGCCTCTTTCCTGACCCCGCCAAGAGTTTGTGAGGCAACTGCTGTGAGTGAGCAGGGGAGAATTTCTTTCCCGGGAGATCTGAGAAAAGAGTAGACAGCTAGGCAGGAGGCTACTGAGTAGATGGATTAGGCATAATAAGGGAATGAGCAAAACAAGGCATGTGTGCACATGTGAGGGAGGGGGAGGGGGGAGAGAAGTAAAGGGAGGGAGGGGGAGGGGGAGAGGAATAAAGGGAGGGAGGGGGAGGGGGGAGAGGAGTAAAGGGAGTGGGTGCAGGGGGGAGAGGGAGAGAAGAATTCAGCTCTAATTCGTTGCCCAAAATTTTGCAATCAGAAAATCGATTTTTAATTTCAGCTTGACTGAATTTACGTTTTATTTTGTTTTATGTCCGTGAGGTCAGGGCCTATGATCTTTCTGGTATTTGGCGTTGCATCTAGCCATGCTTAGAGGCTGGGAAGAGAATAAAATAATCCCAGGGTTCCTTCCCCACCTAGGATTCTCTGTAAGAGTAAACCAGGACCTTGACAATTTCCTAAATATTTGGTTTCTTTCCACCCTGAGCCATGGGGTGGCTGTACAAGACCGTCACGTGAGTAGGACCTAAAGAAACACAGTCAGCAACTCGACCTTTCCTCTCATCTAGCTTATGAATAGGTAGTTTGAGATGAATGTTTCAGCAGAGCAGAGGATATTTTGGAAAATTAGAGCGTCTTAACAGAGAAAAATCTTTGTGAGTTCCAAAGTGGAAACTCAAACATTTAAGAAATGAGAGAAACGACAGACTGACAGGATGATACTCAGTGGAAAGTAAATGATGGGAAAGGCCACAGGCCTGATCCAGGGAGGTTGGAAGTCCCCCTCGTCCCAGGCTGGAGCCCCCTGGAGGCTGGAGCCCCCTGGAGGCAGGCCTGCCTGGGGCCCTGGGCTGCCTCCTTGGTGGCTTGCTCCCTTGCAGGAGGCCACAGTGTCGCAGCACTGGCCTTTAGGAGTAGAGAGACAGGAAGGTAAGAGTAACTGGCTTGCTGGTCTGGGTTGTTGTGCTGTAAGCTTCTCACAGGAGAAAACAGTTTTTGAGTAGCATTCAGTACATCTGGCAAACAAAACTAAGTGTCCTTGGCTGAGTTTTATGGAGTGGACTTGCCAACGTGTTTCCAAGCCAGACTTTGCCCAAGAGCTGCCCTGAAGCTAGGGAGGCTGTTCCTGGGGCAAGTTATTTTCGTCCAGTTGCTTGCTTTCGCGTTTTGTTTTTGCACAGAGTGATTCTGATTTTTTGCTGGTGTCATAGTCTTTCCTACTTGTAGATATCTTTAGATCTGAGTATTATTTGATTGTTTGATTATTGGTCACCAGCTTTCAATAAGTTATTTTTAATTGAACCAGAGCTCGGCCTCCACTATTGCTATAGTTTATTTCCTGAGTTATAGCTGTGACAGGGGTATAAACAGATCCCTGAGTGGTGCCCTGGGTTCTGACGGCTGGATTTCTGAATGTCAGTCACTAAGCACATTTTCAAAAGGGCTGATCAAAGTAATAATGCTTGTGGTGAACTTAGATTGCATGCATTTTGTTTTACAGGGCATATTATAGCTTTTTGTTGTTGTTTTTTAAAAAACCTCAGTTGGACACTACAGATGAAATTCACTCCCAGGATTGTTTTCCCCTAAAAAATACAATGGGAAGCCTATGGCATGTTTAGGACATAAAATTTATGGAAACTGTAATCACGTGTAGGGATAGGAGGGTTTTCAGTTCTCCTTTTAGACGCGGAATCCTTTGCATGGTTTGGAGGGACCCCTGCACGAGGGGCAGCTGTGTGTATGCAGACACTGGGTAGACACTTCATGTATCTAATGGCAGACTCACCATCAGCTGTGCCTGGGGGCACTAATCAGGGGGGCAAACGGGCTATACGGTAAGGTGTGTCCTAATAACTCAGACCCCGTACTAGGGGAAGGTAGTATAGTTTGTCAGTACACAAAATCCAAGTTTATTAGGCAGCTGTTACTCTGTGTATGTGAAGACCATGAGCCTCCCACTCAGCACGAGACAAACATTGGTCATTGTTCACAAATTCAAGGAAAGTGAAAATAATAACCAAGCGCTGCCTGAATTCTAGGCTTTTCCAGTTTGCAGTTTCGTGGATGTTTCCATCCATAGGTTGAAAGACAGCATGTGAAAAGCATGTGACAGCAAGTGGATTAAATTCAGTACGTGGCACCTGTACCACGTTCTCAAAGCCGTTTGTCCCAGCACTGGTGCTGAGGAGTAGATACATGAAAGTGAGAGTAACTGATAATTGTTGGACATTTTCTAATTAATACCTAATAAGCATGTGAGGTATTCTTCCTATTTTACAAAGGAACAAATGACATGAGGGTTAATGGGTTGAGAGGTTGCCTGGGACAGTACAGCTAGTAACTGGTGTTACTAGCATCCAAACTGGGATTTACCGAACTCTGAGGGCAAGCTCATCAACCCTGTGCTATGCTGTCCGTCACAGGTCACTGCAAAACAAGGTGGAATGTGGTAGTTGAGCAACCAGGGGCTTGTTCTGAAGGAGGTGAAGGAGGTGGTAGGTAAAGGGGATTTCTGTGCGGTGCTGAGAAGACTGAGAGGCTGAGCATGGGGAGGGTCATAGGAAATTAGGAGCCCGAGGGCTACAGAAGATGAAATGGGGGAGAGAGTGAGTCGGGAGGGGGCTAGTGGACTGAAGCAGGGACAATGGGAAGTGAGTAATAACTGGTCCTTGGCCTGCAGGTCATCTGTTTCAGGGCTTCACAGAGAAGCCTTGTGAAGAAATGGACAATTCAGTGGAGTGAAGTTTCCTAGCTTAAAGAGATGATAAAGGAGAAGGCAGTTTGTCCAGTGAACATAAACAGAATTGTACCTGTGCTGGGCCACAGTCTGAGCTAATCTTCAGGGTCTTGAAGATGGGCTTTCTCTTCAAGGAGCTTCCAATCCAATAAAGGCCTTACTGCCAATCAGGATTCCGGGGTTCCCTTCCTGGCGCCCACTGGATTTTGGTCCATGACCTCATGTTGATTTTCTGGGCATCCAGCTGTGTCTCTTCCCTGCCTTGTGTCCTGTTACTGATCGCCTCTTCCTGTTTCCCCAGGGGAGCTCTACTTCCTGGCCACCTCTTACCCAAGTGCCTACACACCACATGGATCTATGTACAAATTTGTTGACCCATCAAGGTGAGATTTGGTCTCCGGTGCATTTCTACCAGTCTTTATTTTATCTTCACCAGGTCATGCAAACAGTCTTTACTCCCCAAGAATTACCAGAAATCATCGGTGGAAAGCAGACTGGGACACCAACATGTAGGACCCCGTGTCTATAGAGATCATGGTTTTTGGGAAATGGTCTCTCTGTGGTTGGAAATAAGGATCTTGAGCCTTTCCAGGATGACTAGTCTAGACCTGTGGCTCCTGTTTTGTTTTTGTTTTTTTAATATGTGTCTGGAACTTCCGTCTGGGATCATCTGACAATGGGTAAACCCCTCTGAGTAAGTATTGCTGTCCTATCCCCTGGTTTGGCTGAGGTTTCAAGGTCTTTGGCAAACATTTTGAGCTGTCAGGTTTCTCAGTGTCTTCACCTGACCCCTTCTGGAATTTGGTGGCAGTATTTATTCATTTGGTGGACTCTATGCTGTTTATTTCTGCTTCTCTGCCCATTTCTCTCAGAGGCTAATGAACCTCCAAATGATAAGGCAAGAGCCACAGTACAGCTTGCCATCGGTGAGGTCGCTGAGTGTGTGGTCTGTGCCCGTGCCTGGGAGGGTGATGCCCTGTGTCCACCCTGGAGCTCTGGGCTGTGTGCTGGATTTATCTCAGGATTCTTAACTCAAGCAAGAAAGTCTCCCCATGAATCAGCAAGAAGATACACCCACAGAGGAAAACTTCCTCATGGGCTTTTGTTCCCCGTCTCTGGGGTGAAGGTGGGGGGTTCAGAGGACATTTGGCAAATAGGTTGGCAAATAGGTCCAGTGGCTGCTCAGGGCTCAGGAGCCAGGCCCAGCTCAGCTCCAGTTGGCATTTAGGTATTCTCAGAAGTTCCTGGAAGAGGCGCAGTCCCTGAGGCTGGGCCTGGGGTTCTCTCCTGGCAGCAGTGCAGGATTGCCAAGGGGCAAATGAGGCCTGGGGCTGTCTCCGCTACTGGGTCTGCTCCTAGTACATCCCTGGTGCTCAGGGGATGGAGCAAACCCAGGGTCTCTAAAATGCTTCAAGTGGCTGATAACGTCTAGGGGAGTTCTGCTCTTCCCACTAACTCTCCCGTGTGAATCTGTGAATCTCTTTTTCTTCCCTTTGACAGTTTCCTAATTTGGTTGCGGGCTAATTTAGCTCCCCTCTCATGGCTGATTTAACTTAGCTGGGCTCAGTGACCTTCTGCATATAAAGAAAAACAAGACCAGCCATGAGAGGCCGATCATAAAGCAACCATAGAGCCCATTCCACACTGAAGACATCGGCACTTCTTCGCCATTCTCTGGAATTGACTTTTATTGAGTTACCCCTGCGCCGGGCTCTGTGCTGAATGCTGTGGAGGCTCTCACTGGATGCTGGCAGAATCCCAGGGAGGCAGGTCAACACCCTCTCTCCACAGAGAAGGTCACTGAGCCCAGCTAAGTTAAACTACTTGCCCAAGGTACAGCTGGTAGGAGGGGGGGCCAAGGATAGGAACCCAGCTCTCCTTGTGGATCAAAGTCATGTCCGCCCCACCCATTCACTTCAGTTCTAGTCATGCTGATCGTAGACTTTTTAAAAAAGCTTCTCTAGCAGTGGATCCAGATTCTGCTCTGCTCACTTTTTCAGCCTGTCTCTGCACTAGCGCACTCATCCCAGCGTTCTGGGGAGCAATTCATTTCTTTATGTATGATTCTTTCCCTCCCAATTTTTCCCCTGCCCTCCCTTTACAGTCATGGATCTTGGATCCTGGGTTTGAATCTTGGCTTTGCCACCAAGTAGCTGTGTGACCTTGTATCTGTTGCTTAAACCTTTGTGGGTTTCAGTTTCCCATCTATAAAATGGGGATACAAATAACACCTACCTTATAGGGTTATTGTGAGGATTCAGTGAGTTCTATTTATAAAGCATTAGTACTGTGACTAAGCACTCTGTTAAGTGTTCATAAAATAATAAAGTTCCTTTTGTTTTTTCCCCTACCTGGGATGGGATGATAGCATGAGAAACAGAGTTGGAGCAGGGCAGAGAAAGTGACAGGGGGCCTGGCTGGGAAGTTCCATCTCTGTTCTGAGTAGCAAGAGGTCCCTTTTATTTCAGAAGATGTACCCAGAGGGCAGTAGCTTCAAAATCATACTAGTAAACAGAGAGACTGGCATTACTTACGGGGTTGTGCCAGGAGTTCCTGAAGGGGTTTTCTTTAAAGGGAATCACTGCCACCACCATCATCATCATTCTTGGAACACTTCTGTGCTGGGCACTTTTCCAAGTGTTTTTTAAAATCTCATTAAGCAAATAATTTAAAAAGTGATTTATCAATCACTTGTGTGCCAGGTACACAGCTCTTATTTACTCCTCACCATCTCCCTGTAAGGATGGACCTATTACTTTTTCTATTTTATAGATGCAGAAATTGAAACTTAGCAAGGTTTGCTTGCTCATGATCCCCAGTACTTGAACCTGATTCTATCGCCGCACCACATATGAGGGGGGGCTGACCCCACTTCTCATAAATGTACGCTTTCTAGTGACCTTGATTTCCTGTGCTCACTTTAGAGTCTCGTGTCCTCATTTTTAAAATCTGTTTTTAGGCGAGCACCGCCAGGCAAATGCAAATACAGGCCAGTGCCGGTGAAAACCAAGAGCAGGCGGGTCCGGTTCAGACCACTTGCCAGTGAGTCCATTTTTATCTTAGGCTCAGACCTTGACACTGAGGTGCAAGCATGCTACAGTCCTCCTGGGGTGGGGCAGGGGTCTTAGTTACCCACCTAAGGCTTATCCTCTAGATGACTGTAACTTGTGGCTCAGTCTATCTATATATACCAGAGTGAGTTGGGGCAACACCTGCTTCTACTAAGACCTGTCGGACTCTATTCATTCATCTGTCAATCATTCACGTAGTCATTCATTCACTTGGCATCATTCATCTAGTACTTTGTGGCAGTGACTGGGGATACTGCAGTGAACCTGACCTGTAGGAGTTCAGAGTCAAATGAGAGGTGGGCGGGTAGTGCTGGCAAATAAAGAAATAAACACAGCACTGAGGTTCTGGTATAGAAGGATTTCCCAAAGGCTGTGAAGGCCCCTAGGGTGAGGATATTTTCCTTGCATGGGTGGGGAGTCCGGAGGATTTACAGAAGAGGGGAACCATCTGAAGGGACCTATTCCAGAGCCCTGTATGATGGGAGTGACCCAATTAAACAAGTGGTATATTTAGATCTAGGCCAGTTAAGGGAATTAAACATTTTAATTTCAAAGGAATTCATGTTCAAGAGTCCTCAGGCAGTCCTAGGGCCTGGGTGGTGCTTCTTTTAGAGCTATTTCCCGGGACTTAATTTCTTACTAAATAAATCTTGTTTCCCAGAGACAGTTTTGGACTTGCTGAAGGAGCAATCAGAGACAGCTGCTAGAAAATTATCCAACGTAACTTCAGCTTCCCATCCCCACCAGGCCTCATCTCGGAGAGGCTCCTCCAAGAAGTCAGCTTCTTCCACGAGCAGCAGGAAACTGTTTCAAGGGCCTGGTACAAAAAAGAGAGCCAGAGTGTGGGCTCCAGGGCCCCAGGGGGAGAGAAAGAAGAGCCTGAGACCCCAGAGAGGCAGGGGAAGCCCGTCAGCGCAGTGGAGAGCTGGCAGAAGCCTCCCCAGGCCTTTTCTGTCAAGGTGGTCGAGCAGCGGACAGGCAAGGGGAGGCCCACCCCGCCACGCAGAAGCTGCTGCTGCTCAATTTGGACCTTAGATGCATTGGAGGTTGGGCATGGAGGTGGGGCCGGCGGGCAGAACTTGACTTGGGCCTGGTGTGGTTTTCCTCTCCAGGGAACCCTGCTCTCTGAATGGACGCCCCTTGTCTGTGTGCAGCCCAAGGCCCTCGTTGCCAGTGCATCTGGCTAATTGTGTGCCCTAGTCCATAAACCTGCTTGGAATCCCACTTGACATCTCTATAGTGTTTTGTAAATGCCTACAACCTAAGGGAATAAATCAATGCTTACTCAAACACACACATCCTTGGATCTCCTGGAGGTTTGTCTGGCATTAGGGAATCTGGTGCGCCTCACCATTTGGCCTAAGGAGCACGTTTCACCCTGCTGCCTCATCCCAGGTCTAAGAGGAGGCTTCTAGGGACAGGTTTCCAAGGAGAGCCCCTCTAAAATCCTTTGTCCCAGGCTGTGGAAAGCCACTCACTGTAGTTTTGATTTGCATTTCCCTGATAGGGATGTTGAGCATCTTTTCAAGTGTCTGTTGACCATCTTTTCAAGTGTCTGTTGACCATCTGTGTGTCTTTGGAGAAATGTCTGTTCAGGTCCTCTGCCCATTTCTAAATTGGATTGTTTCTTTTTCTGATATTGAGTTGTTTTAGAGTTCTTTATATGTTTTGGATGTTAACCCCTTTTTGGTTTTATTACTTGTAAATATGTTCTAGGTTGCCTTTTCATTTTGTTGATGGTTTCCTTCACTGTGCACAAGCTTTTTAATTTGATGCAGTCCTAGTTGTCTATTTTTGCTTTTGTTGCTCTTTTGAGACAGATACAAAAAAATGTTCAGACTGATGTCCAAGAGTTTGCTGCCTATGTTTTCTTCTAGGAGTTTTATGGTTTCTGGTTGTAGATTTAGGTAATTAATCCATTTTGAGCTTATTTTTGTATACACAATAAGAAAGTAGTCCAGTTTCATTCTTCTGCACATTTACACGGTGCAAGCATAGGTTAAGAATTAGCTTGAACCCCAGGTCACAGGACTCTGGTTCCTGAAACCCACACCATCCAACAGAAATATGAAAGCTGCCAAGTGGGAGCCACACAGGTAATTAAAAATTTCCTAACAGCCACAGCAAAAAAAAAAAAACAAAAAAAAAGGTAAAATTAACATAATTATGTCTTATTTAATCCCCTGGATCTCCAATATTATCATTTCAATATGTAATCAGGTTAAAAATCACTCATGGGATGGATAGTTTACATTTCCTTTTTGGCACTAAGTTTTCTAAATACAGGGTGTATTTTACTTTCAGCGCATCTGCATCTGGGGTAGCCACGTTTCGGGCACTCAGTGGCCACATGTGGATAGTGGTTACCTTACAGACAGCTCTTTAGCAAGCCGTAGCCCTGAGACACGGGGAAAAATTCTGGGTGGGGAAATTCAGGTATTTAGGAGGCTCTCGTGGCCCTTTAGTCACGCAGCACCCTGGAATTCCGGGAAAACACGGAGAAATGAGAGCAGCTGCAAATACCGGCTTCCCAAGCAGCGCTGGGCTATTTTGGAAGTCGCCCTCCTTCTCTCTCGAAGCGGGTAGGACCTCCACGCCAGGCGGGGCCCAAGCCCTGGGCTGCCACGTGTCAGCTCGAGCGTGGGCTTCCCTCCGGGCCACGCCGGCAGCGCTCCGGGCCCGGGGTAGGGCGTCGCGACGCGCGCTTGCCTGCCTTCCGACGGGAGATGCGAGCCAGTGTCACAGCGCCGCCTGTCGGCCCCGTGGGGTAACTGCACGCGCGGCCCCGCCTCCTTCCGCCCGCCTTACGCAGCGCGCCCCGCCCGCCCCGCCTCCCGCCGGCCTTCCCCGCCAGGTACGCTTCTCCGGTTGTGGTAATTCGGTGCTGGGTGTCTGTTTGCACAGGTTTGAAAACGAGCCCTTGGAGCCTCGCGCCTCCCTCTCTGGGGTTTGGGCCCGTAGGTCTGGGTAGCGTTGGGGTCGTAGAAACGGCTCTTCCTTTCTTTTTCCCGTTGTTGGTTGCGCTCCAGGGTTTTCTCTTCCGGGTCACTTCTAAAGCACATTAAAGGACGTCCATCATTTGTATTTCAAGAGAAGTAACTTTGAATTTTGCCAGTAGTGACGTTTTCGGAAACCGCTTTGCTGTTTTGGATTCTCTATTCCGTTTTTAAATGGAATATTCACAAAAAAAGAAGCCGGCAAGAGGCCCCAGCGAGGATCGAACTCGCGACCCCTGGTTTACAAGACCAGTGCTCTAACCACTGAGCTATGGAGCCCTCTAGTTACCTGGTGCGCCCCAGTTCTGGGACATTGGAAGCAGCATTGCTTTAGCTGACTGTGCATTTATTATCAGTGATAATTACAGACTGAAATGCCCCAGAAAAACGCCTACAACATAATACGTAGAAAAAGCCCCAAATCTGAAATTGATATGCTTATAATTACAAAACACTGGATTATACCAATGGTAAGTTATGCATACAGACAAGAGCTGAAAGGGAAAATGCAAAAATGAAATCATGTTCTGATCACATTATGTACCCTTATGTCTTAAAAAAGCCCCCACCTTATACGACAAAGATGTGTCAAGTTTAGTGTTTATAGGGAAGTTATGGGGGCGTCTTTGCTTCTCATAAATAAGTGATTGATTATGGGTGGATGAATTGATCCAGCACATAAATTTATCGAGTACTCGCATACTGCCAAGCATTGGAGATAGAATAAATGGGTTCTGTCCTTGCTCTTTTTTAACGATTGGGATCATGAAACCATGCCTCATTCTCTGCATAATGAAGTATTTACCGAAGGAATGAAGTTATGGCCACCACGTGATTCATTACTGCAGGAGGAAGAGAATGAAGATCATGCACCCCCAGTGGACCGGCGCGTCTCTCCTTTACCTCCTTCAAGTGTCTCCTCAACAAGACCCTTCCCGACCCTCTAATTCAAGCTTCGTCATCCTCTTGATCCTGTCCCTTTTATCCCATACTACTTAACCTTTTTTCCTACTAGATAATATGCTTATCATATTTATTATTCATTTTGGCCTCTCCCTGTTGGAATGTCAGCTCTTGAGGCCAGGGAGTTTTCTTTTATTCCCTGGTGTATTCCCAGCAGCTAGAATAGTGTGCAGCACATAGCTGGTGCTTAATACATGCTGAATGATTGACATCTCTGACGATGTTCATTTTGTAACCCAGGAGAAATCAGGGAAGTGCTTCGGGAGGCATCTTATCCTTCTCCCTTACTTCCACGGCTTCTCCATCCAAGGTGGAATTCGTAACACCCTTTAGTTTGCTCGTCCTATCTGGTTTTCTTATTGTCCTGCTTCCCCTGCACTTTGCTCCGAGATTTACTGTCCTAATTCCTGGCCGTCCCCCTTACTGTGCTCAGGAGAAAGCCAGACTGTTCAGTCGGTTCCCTTGGTACAGACTTTTCCTCCCCCTCAGGCTAACCTAGCGAGCACCTTCATTTCTCATTTTACCTGATTTCTTCTGCCTGTAACAGCTGAGCTTGATTTTAATGTCTCATGGCAACTTGACAAGAGCATCGAGCTCCGGTTTATTTGCTTCTCTGAGGTGATTTGGAAGAGTGTATTCGTATTTTAGGGCTGCCCTGATGAAGTACCATCAGCTGGGTGGATCGTCTCACCGTTCTGGGGGCTACAAGTCCGAGTGCACATTGGCGGCCGGGCCGTTTCCTTGGGAGGCCTCCGAGGGATGGACCGTCCCAGGTTTCTCTCCTTGGTTTGTAGATGGCTGTCTTCGCTGTGTCTCTTCACAGCGTCCTTCCTCTCTGCATGTCCCTTTCTGTGTTGGAATTCCCCTTTTTATAAGGATACCAGTTATACTGGATTAGTACCCACCACCCCAGTGATCCCACTTTACATTTGATTTTACCTCTGTAAAGAGTCTGCCTCTAAATAGGTCACATTCTGAGCTACTGGGGTTTAGGGTTTCCACATAAGAATTTTGAGGGGACACAATTCAATCTGTAACAAGGAGGCCAGGGTTCAGTTAAGGCTGAAGCAAGGCTCCTCCCATTCCCTTGATCTCCCGCGCACTCACCAGCGATTCTCACCTGTCCCCCAGCCCCTCCCGGCACCTCCCAGCTGGGGAAGGGATGTGATCGAAAAATAGAACCTCTCTCCCTCTCAGTTCTAACTTCTGAACTGTAGGATAAAGGACATGAAGCTGAAAGGACAAGATGAAAGAACGATAAGAAGGGTGAACATCCTGTAAAGATGCTGATTTCCTCCTAAGTGGCACGGCATTAGGGGAAAAAGTCTGGGAGGGCTTTGTACTGAATTTTGTCTTCCGTCCTCCTTCCCCTTATCCCCTCCATCAAGCCCTAGCCTAAGCCGATGCACCCCCTGTAAAGTGGAGGTGATAATTGTGGTTCAATCTCAGGGCAGTTTGGGGGAGCCAGCACAATAACGAACTTGAAAGTGCCGGAAACACTTGTTGTTCATAAGCTGAGCATTTACTTCTAGTTTCTGGGTGCCCCTAAGCAGAAAGTCTCGGGGAGAGACGGGAAGGACAGATGACATCCTAGAGTCCGGTTTGGGGGAGGGCGAGGAGGAGATGGAAGACAGAAGCCTTTGCCCAGCCACCAGCCTCACCCTCTCCAGACTCCCCAGCTGTGCTGCGTGGAGGCCCCCGCAGCCCCTAGGGTTGAGGAGAAGCAGCTCGGAGCCCAGTGGGCTCTCCGCCCACGGGCGGCAGGGCGTCTCCCGCTCCGTCCTGGGAGCCGCTGTCCCCCGTCCTCTGTCCTGCCCAACGTCACACTCCAGGTCAGAGGTGAGGTTCTGAGGTCAGGAGGGACGCCCCGGCACACCGAGTCCGCGCTTCCTGATGACGTTAAGGAAGCCTCGGCCCGGGGAGGGGAGAGGTCTTACGTCATCATGCTGTGAACTGGCAGCAGAAGCCACATAGAAGTGGGGTTTGGAACTTTCCCATGGGTTTTGTTTTATATTCTGAAAGTTGGTCAAAGACAGCTAAAAAATTGAAACAAAAGACCAAACAACAAGGAAGTGCAAATAAACCTTAGCCGACCAACCAACCAAAATTGGAAGGGGAAGGGGCTTTCTGAGTTTGTCCAGGAACAAGGTAAGGCTCTTTAGGACAGGGGGCAGGACAGAGAGGGAGGGAGGTGCAGGGTCCTCCCCAGCATCTGGTTCCTCCTTATACTCAGCCACAACTGAGCTAGAGGTCGGGGTGGGGGCAGGACCCTGTGGCCCCAGAACCCCAGAGCCGGGGCACAAAGGGAGGGAGGAGCCGCAAGGAGGGAGGGGAGGGCGGGAAGCCGAGGTGCCGCTCAGGGCTGCTTTGTAAGCTGATACAAATTCACAGGTCGTCGGCCCTGGCCCAGGTGTCTGAGCCCCTCCAACATCCTTCCCGCAGGTTGAGGGGGGGAGGCCAGCAGGAACCCAGAACACAGGCACGAGGGGCTCAGAACCTGGGGTGCTGGGGTCAGGGGCTCGGGTCCCCGTTGCCTGGACCCTTCGGGGGAGAGGCTCCGAGTGTCCTCCAGAAAGCCTCTGGGCACACGGCTCTTCTCACCGCCTAACCACGGCGAGCCTTGGGGCAGCTGTGTCCCACAGGAAGTGGGTGGGCGGCTCCACAGTGAGCGCCTCCCTGTCTTTGTGCACCCACTATCAGTCATCATCACAAAATTCACCTCCTGGATTTGGGTCCTGTCCCACACCACACAGCCCTCTGTTGAATAGGTTTTTAATCAGATTGCTGGGCTTTTGGGTGGAATTGATGGAAGGACATCAATTTGGAGTCTGGAGACAGTTGTGACCTCTAGTTCGCAGTGGCAATGGGGTTCGGATTGTTCTGGGAGGGAGGATTCTGGAGGGATGAAGCCTGAAGAGAAGGATTGAGAAATGCACCCCTGGCCCCATCACCTTGATCTCCGGCTTGCAGAACTCGTTCGATGGGCTGCCCTGAGCGTCACGTGTGTTCATGAGCTGCTGGGCCAAGAAAGACTGGTTCACGCAGGGGAGGTGAGGGCTGATCACTTCCAGATTAGAATACAGGGGCCCCGGCAGGGCCGTGGGGAGCTCAGGGACTTTGGCTCCTGGTAGAACTCAGTTCAATTTCGGGGACTCCTGGTCCTGGTCATCTTTCGCTGAGCCGCAGAGGGTGACAAGCTGTACCATGGGTCACCTTGGGCTTCAGTGTCACAGGGACTTGATTCCTAGCCCAGCTCTGCCCCTCTGTCCCCTGCTGGCTGCACCGAAATTACCTGCCTCCCAGGAGACTGTTTCTCAGCCTTCTTTATAGACTCCCCCTCCATGAGGGCAAGATGAGGCACACAGCACACAGAGGCCAGCTGGCCCTAGTCTGGATTCTGGGTCTTCTCCTGCCAGTGTGTGGGCCAACGGTGAGCCAAACCAGAAGAGGTACCTGCCCTCGCGGAGCTCACAGGCCAGTGGGAGGAACGGCCGTTATTCAGATAATTGGTGGAATCTTGGGGGCAGAGGCTGATGAAGAGGAGCAGGACATGCAGACAACAGCTTCTCCATGTATATAATGAAGATGGTGAGAGTGGTGACAGTACCATCTCCTGTGGGTCCTTGTGAGGCGTAAATGAATGATGCCTCAGAGCCTGGCACCCGGGGGTGCTTGATGTCAATTCCTTTTATTACTAGTTGTAGCTAAAAGTACTGTGTGAAGCCCTCCCATTGCAGGCGGGTCACTCCCAGAAATCAGGGTGGCAGGAGGCAGAGGAAGGGATGAAGAGCCTGGAGCTCCTAGGGCCCAAAGCCCCGTTTCTGTAACCAGAGCGCCTTTCAGGCACTGTGGAATGAGATGTTACCACTCTCCTTTGGGAGCTGAAATAGGAGTCAATGCGTCATGTTCAGAAAGGGGAGATTGTCTCACCTCCTGAGAGACCACGGATTAGAATTAACTTTATTAAAGTCAGACAGGGCAAGTGCTCAGAGAGGCTAGAGGGGGTAGTCTTCCAGTTGGCACAGCTGTCTTCTGTCATTTCCTGCTCTTAACAGCCTTTTGTACACATTTCCTACCCCAGGCACCATAGGAGAGTGGGGTGGGGTGTCCATACTTCTGGTGGGAAGAATGAGGTACTGGAAGTGGCTAATTCAGAGACTGGATGGCAGCTGAGACACTGAGGGTGTCCCAGGAGATGATTCAAGGCTTTTAGGACAGTCTTATGAGACGGAGAAACCAGCCACCCCTAGAACGTCTCTGTGTGTCACCTGATCCCAGTGGGAAGGGAGAAAAGAATACCTCCAGGCTGAGGGGAGAAACAGAGAATTTGAGAGTCTCAGCATTCATCCAGCCCCCGTGGGTCTCAATTCTGACTACCCATTAGTAACCTGGGGGCTTAAAAAATGGTCATTGCCCAGGCCCCAGAAGTTCTGGTTTAATTTGTTTGGGGTGAGGCCTAGGCATTCCTTTAAAAAAATTTTTTTATTAAGGTATCATTAATGTACAGTGTTATAAAGGTTTCACATGAGCAACATTGTGGGTACTACATTCACCCATATTTATTAAGTCCCCCCTCCACCCCATTGCAGTCACTGTCCATCAACATAGTAAGATATTACAGAGCCACTGCTTGACTGCCTGTCTTTGTGCTGTACTGCCTTCCCCGTGCCCCCCCTACATTATGTGTCCTGATCATAATAGGCATTCCTTTTTAAACACTCCTCACATGGTTTTGGTGTGCAGCCAGAGCTGAGAACCCAAACTAACGAATCCTTTTTGTCTTGTAGATGACTAAACAGAGACTGTGAGAGGCTAAATAATTGACTCAAAATAAAGGCCATACAGTCACTTCTAGGCCACAGGGTCTGAACATGAACCCAGGGCTGTCTCCATAACCCTATAGGAGAATCTCCTCAGCACTAACACTTTGGAGTGATCTTACAGAGAATAGTTACTGTATGTATGTCTTTAAGCCTAAATCTGACTGTATTATTTGAATAATGCCAGCATTAACTCTAGAAGGAACTGTTGAGTATTAAGACTGCTCCAGAAGTATCTGTGATCCATGGTACCAGGATCTGGAGATGGTGATGAGCTCAGGTTTTGGAGTTGTGAAAGCTTGGTTTTAAATGGTGACTCTTCCTCTACTGGCTGTATGACCTTGGCCATATTACCTAACATCTCTGAGCTTCAGTTTCTTTACTGGTAATATAGGTATTTCCCTAGAGAGTTAATACAGACCAGTTTCTTGGTGGTGAAGATTAAATAAGAAAATGTCATAAAGCTCCTAGTGCACAACTTGTGCCTTTTAAATGATAGTGGCAGTAGTAGTTAGTAGTAGTAGTATTTTTATATTCCTGTGTACTTGCCTTCTAGAATACTGATTCTCAACCAGGAGGATTTTGCACCCTAGGAACATTTGGCAGTGTAGTCTTTTATAATGGGGGAAGAGGGATGCTCTTGGCATCTAGTGGGTAAAAGCCTGAGATACAACTAAACGTTTACAAGGCACAGGACAGACCCCGGCCACCCCGCTAAGGAGTTATTCAACCCAGTGGTGCCAGGGTTGAGAAGCCGTGCTGTGATATCTGAAAAGAACTGGGAGCTTGCAGGCCAGAGCTACTGGGTGGTATCAAGATGATAATTATCAGCTCTTGCCCTGCTGAGAAGGCAAGGGGGCCATGAATTTAGGGGATGGAGAACAACCCATCTCTCCTTTCACTGGCCACAGAGGGTGGGCCTTCCGCCACTTTGCATATGAGCTTCTGTGCTAATCTGCAGGCAATAGTGACACTGGGGTTTATACGGCACCTAAAGCTTAGAGATGCTGGTATGAAACGCTTAAGTAAAGCCGAGACGATTGCATCATATCCCACGGGAGAGCCGTCTTTCTCCACGGTTGTGCTTTGGACACCGGGGAGCTGCCTTAGCTCTCCTCTGTCATGATCTCAGCATTTATAAATGACAGCCACCGAAGTTGGAAAGTATGACATCAAGTTGGCAAGTGGAAAACCTACTCAGCTTTCTTGCTGGAGCCTTGTGTCTTAACTTATTTGTTTTAAAAATAAGATGAGTATAATACTGCTAGGCAAGCTGTGTTATGAGAGAAGAGAAGAATACGTGTAAAAACTCTCCCTGACAGCACAGAATGTACTTGTCAAGGGTGACGCGGTTGTTTATTTTGGCAGCAGTTGAGGGAGTGGGCGCTAGGTGGCGCTACGTCCCTACACGCGAGGAGAGCTCGCCCGGGGACCCAAGTTACTAATGTCAGTTTGGAGTACGTACACCGGGAGTGAAAAATATAGTAACAGGAAAGATTTAGTTCTTAAAATAAGTCAGCAACCCAGTGAAGCAAATACTACCAATGGCAGGTACATTTTCTTGCTTGAACTGATGGAAAAGGGCATTAACTTCCTCCAGGCACCACCTGGCTGTGGATATCAAACGATAAAAATAGACAATTAAATAAACCACGCAGCAGGCCTGGCCTCGGAAGAGAATGAGGACCCCCGGGCTCCACCATAGACCTGGGATCTGGCACCGACGTTCCTCTGTAATGGCTGCTGTGTGAAGGTGCAGTGTGGAGACGCTTTTAATTTTCTGGTTGACCTTCCCTGAGTTATATATGAGAGGCCTGGCCCCACGCTCCGGTGGTGGGTGGCAATGTCACCTTTCCGAGCTCCAGCTGTCATCGGTTAGGATAGGATTGCTTTTCTTATCTGTGTTAGAAGTTAAGCGAAGTGAAGATCCCGGGAGCAATGGACAGAAGGGCGGAAGGGGAAGCGATATTTGAGGGTGGTCATCTCCAGGTCCATCACAAGGGGATTTGGACCCACTGGATCCGATGCAAGTTCGCAGTCTCCTTGTCACTCGTGTCCACACTCCGCAGTCACCGCGGTGAAGTCTGAGGCGGGTCAGCGCTTTAGGAAGGGAGGGAGGCACGGGATGCAAGCGTGGCTTCCGATCGCGGAGCCCTGCGTTGCACCGCCACCAGCCAGCGCTTCGACCTCGGAAATGCCCTTTCACGGCGGCCTCAGCGCTCTCATCTTTAAAACATCGATACAATGGGCAGGGAGGTTGCAGGAGTCCCGAAATCGCTCCAAATGAGTTCACTTCAATAGGAAACTGAGGCGACCCGCAAACAAAGC